TGACAAAAAAAATGTATTTGCACTGGGTGACAGGATATATTTTCCCTTCACTCGGTGACACTCCCGAATCACGTTTCAAGTGACTAACGTTGTTGCATTGCTGTCACGATCCTGAGCTATGGTAGCCCACAGGTGACAAAAAATATATAGCGCCCAGGCAATGTTCCCTCTAAGCTGTGCGCTGGGACAGGCAGGGCACAGGGGAGGGCCCCTGCGGCCTTCAAAGCGCCAGTGGCGCCCGGGCCGGCCTCCGGGAGCGACGCGGGATGCGTGGCCCACCACCACTGCCTTGGGCAGCAGCGCCCAGGGTAATGACTCACGCAGTTGCGTGTGAGAAAAACGCGCGGGCCGCACTATCACTAAACTTTGATATCAAGTGGGGGCCACAAAATATCATCCCGCGGGCCGCAATTGGCCCGTGGGCCGTGAGTTTGAGACCCCTGGCTTGGGACAATTAGAGTCAAAGGAAAGTGAAAGAAAAGAAAGGAGTTTATCTAGCTCTTGAAAGGAGGGGTGTTCACGTTGGGTGAAGAGTGTGTCAAATCTGAGAAAGGTCAGAAAGGAGGGAACAACTATGATGTATAGTACCACCATTAACAAGCTCCTATATTATTCACTGTCTGTGTAGCTTTGAAGTTTATTAGAATAAAAGACTTTAAAACTTTGTTGCCTGTTCCTGTGTGAGTAATTTGGAAGAAGGCTCCGGCCTCATGACAGGTGCCATCTGAATTTTTTTTGTCTTGATGAATTTATTGACGCCATGTAAGTCCAATATCAGGCGCAGACCACCGTCCCGTTTTGGGAGCATGAAATATCTCGAGTAGAAACCGTGGAGCCCTTCGGAGCAAGTGAGCTGTTGAAATGCTCCTTTATGAAGCAGCTGGGATGACGGAGGAACAGGATATCTTGTTCCCATATGCTGTACATTGACTCATTACCATGAAGTCAGTTGCGGCTGGTTGGGGAACCGCCAGGATTCAGCCATGGCCTGATGAAGTGTCATAATCAACGGCAGGACGATGGCAGCAGAGTGCTCTTTATGATGTTATAGAAGTTGTTGTACTGGGATCGAAGCGGTGCTGGGGCTTGATCTCCAGTGACCTAGCCAATTGCCCCATCAGTTCCCCAAATGTAGAATATGATTTCTTGGGAGAGCTGAGACCTTGAGTTGTTATAACAGTGTCCGGTGAAGTTGATGCTATGACCAAGTTCTCCGAATCTGAGTCATACTGAAATGGAGAACTGGAAGAGGAATCAGCCGGCGAGGAAGGACACCTGGGTTGAACAGCTGCTGATGTCGAGGGAGCTCCTTCGCTACCAGAGACAAGATGGAATGGTGCAGACACATGGATGGGTAGTACCCATAGGGTGGTCATCCCAAGGCTCCCGATGGGCAACACCGTAGGGCATCTGAACCAAGTCTCCAGAAGGCTGACCGGACACTTGCTGCTGCTGGTGCAGCAGTTGAGGTGGGGCCCTTGGCGAGACCTCAGGAGAAGCCAGCAGTGGAGTCGGCGATTGTGCCGTCAGAGGGGCCATCTGAGGAGAGTCTCGGATCTCTTCATCAGAAATGGATCCTGGTAAGACTGCCTCCAGATGGTCCAGTGAAGACAGGGCTGAAGAGGTGATCTGTTGAGGAGACCCTGGCAGGGTCACCTGCATGGCCAGCTGAAGGTTGGGGCTGGTCAGTGTCGGCATTGATGCAGTGGTCGGGACCGATGGCGCAGATGATCCCAAGTCTTGGCGATAAGGCTGGTCGGTCTTTTTCAGCTTATGGGCCGACTTGTCCGCCCTGTCTCTCTTGGCCTTCTTGTGGACTAAGGACTTATCCAACCTGCTATGTTCCTGTTCTCCTTTTGTTTGTGAGGAGAGTGAGAAGAGCGTTGGGCCTCTGGAAGAGTTGCTTCCTTGGCCGATGGGTGAGAAGGAGGCGCAGCCGAAGAAGAGGGCTGCGAAGCAGGCTGGGCCGCGAGTTGGTTGGAGGCAGCCAGAGCCTGGTCCCATAAAAGTTTATGCAGGTGCTTTTTGCAGTTCTTGCGAGCCTGCTTAGAGAATTCCTGACAATGGCTGCACTTATCAATTCTGTGGCCCTCTCCCAAGCACAGAAGGTACAGATCATGTGGATCAGTGGGAGACATCTTGGCCTTGCACTGGGAACACTTACAGAAAGCTGCACATTGAGCCATCAAAGAAAATAGAAGATAGCAAAGTGGTATTCCCACAAATAACAAAAAAAGGAGAGTAAGTGTAGAAGTGTATGTGTGTATTTGGGGGGAAGAAAAAAGGGGTTTTAGAAAGAACTTCTAAACGGGGGAAGGGGAAGGTAAGTTAACTTGGAATGGAGATCTTAACGAGGGCTCTAACGAGAAAGCCAGGTTGCTTGCCTGTAACTGTTCTTCTTCGAGTGGTCATCTGTGCAGTCACACATAATGGGTACTGTGCCTGTACAGTGATGAACCTGACAAGCGTGTGGGAGTCACAGTCTACGTGGTGCTAGGCCATGGTGAGTTGTTGTATGGAGAGCTGCATAGGTTCCCGGATGAAGACGCAGGCCAAGTCACGCTGCTGTTCTGGATCAACGAGGTGATGGAATCCAGCCATTGCATCTGGAAGTACTGATATCTGGCCATCGTTGCCTCATAGTTTGAGACCCGGAGACCCAGTCCCATGGCCTCATAGATGTGTTACGCCATCAGGTCTATCTTCCTGCATTCTTTGTCTCTAGGGGTTGGGTGTTCCCTGTTGTCTCACCCCTGGAAAGACTCAACCACAATTGAGTTGGATTTCGGGTGTCTCAAGAGGAACGGGATATCCTGTTCCTGAACCTTATACATGGACTCATACCTCCTGGATGTTGGGTGAGGTTGGCTGGGAGAAGTCTAAGTATCTTCCATGGCTTTCCATACAGTGGTAATTAGCGGGATGGTTATGGCGGAGGACTGCTCTTTACAAACAATGTCATAAAAATTGTCCTTGTTGGTGCTAGGTTGATGCTCGACCTCAATCTCCAAGGCCCGGGTAAGGTGGCCCATAAGTTTGCCAAAAGTGGCGTAAGATTCTTCTGGTGACCCAGGGCCCTGGGTAGAGATAACCGCTGCAGGAGATTTGGAGCATTGATCTGAGTCTTCCAAGTCCGAATCGTAAGGGTGCGGCGGACTAGAGGAGGACTGAGATGGAGAAGGACGAGAAGGTGCCGGTGCTGAGGTGGAAGGCGCTTTGGTCCTGGCTGGTCGAGATCGGTGCCTGCATTCCCTTGGCATGGGATAGTAGCCATACGGAGGCGGGTATCCCCAGTAGTAGGGCCGAGAAGGTTCAGGGCCTTCGTACGACGTCGGAACCCAGCTCTTGGGGGGCTGGCCTGACGAGCGATGGTAGCAATGGGGTTTGGCCAGTGTGGGCCTCAGGGGTGCCTCAGGAGATGATGTCATCGGTGTTGGAGAACGGGCCAGCTGGTGACATGGCAGTGACCATGGCGGAGAATCTCGGATTTCTCCGTCAGACATCAACCCATAAACGATGGGTTCGGGAGGATCCAATGCCATAGGAACCACAGCCTCGACCTTCTGGGGAGATCCAGGCGGCGTAACTTGCATTAGTGCCTGTGGTGTCGGTGTTGAAGACATTGGGACCGATGGAACGGTCGAATCTGAGTCTCGGAGTGGTTCCGTAGCAGGCCTATGATGTTTACGGCCAACTTTGCCCAACTTGTCTTTCTTAGGCTTTTTTGGGACGAACAGATCCCCTTGGCCAGTGTGTTTCCTTTTCTCATTTTGTTTGAGCGAGGAGGAATGGGAGGAGTGAGAGGTCTCCTTGGAAGCAACTCCCTCAGATGGCAGATGAGGGGATGTCATCATAGAAGGACCAGCCGGCATAGTCTGGGCAGCAAGCTCATCAGAGGCTAACAAGGCCTGATCCCAAAGGATCTTTCTCAGCCAATTTCCCCGATTTTTTCGGGCTTGTTTTGTAAAGGCCTGGCAGTGTCTGCATTTATCGGTGTGGTGTTTTTCTCCTAGGCAAAGAAGACAAAGCTCATGCGGGTCTGTAGGAGACATCTTAGTCCCGCATTTAGAGCACTTTCAAAAGGCTGCGTGCTGAGCCATCGAGTAAGAATAGTGGAAAGGAAAGTACGAAGGTAAGAAGGGAAGAGGGTTTAACTTTTTTTTTTAATTTTAGTAACAGAAGAAGGAAGAAAAGAGTTTTAACTGGAGAGATAAGGGTAAACCAACTTGGATTATTCAACTGGGAAGAGATAAGAGAACAGTGATCAACAGCGAGAGAGATAAGCTAACAGCTCGAGGCAGTGTGATCGCAGTCGAAAGAAGACTGAGGAAAATGGCGGGGGCTCCATCCTATATAGCACCATGGGGGAGGGGTGTGGAGTTCCCACCAAAATCCGTTGAAGCTGTGGTATTCTGCCCAGCAACAGGCACTGCACAGTGCAGTACGCATTATGTGTGATGCACAGAGACCACGAAGAAGAAAAAGGGGTAATAGACGGCTTTGGAACAAACAGCAAGTATATCTAGGGCAAAGAGACAAAAGGCATGAGGCACAGTGAACGGCGGTCGCAAGAAGACTGGAGAAATGGCAGGCACTCCGCCTTTTATACGATGGTGGGGCGGGGCGGGGCGTGGAGTTCCCACCAAAACCGTTAAAGCTTTTGAATCTTCCCGGCTATGGGCACTGCGCAGGCACAGCACCCATGTGTGTGATGTGTAGAGGCCATGATGAAGAACATAACTCTACCTCTACTTATAATTACAGTTTCTTCTATCATACAGGGAATATTTCATTTCCTAATAAGAAGACAAAGGATGGACTGATGTTGCTGATGTTGATGTTGCTATAAAATACTAAAGTATTCACAGAAACAGTAAAACTTGGTTTACTTATAACAAGGAGCAAATCATTATATTTGTAAGCTGTGGAAATGGATTAAACATTTTAACAAATCCAAATAGCCATCGAATAAACTAATTCCAGACAGACTCAAAAGACAATTGTTTGTGAAGCATGTCTATTACATTGTTTATTCTGTAACATACATTTAACAGATGTATTCATTACCACTCATGAACAGAATCAGCTTGCACCATAGTCAGTGCTTGTGCAAGAAGTATCGCAGTAGTGCTCAACGAACTGTTTCTTCCTGTCTGTTCCCATATGCATCTGGTTACAAACATGAGTAGTGCAGCTGGATATGAGAAAGCTGAAAGCTCTGGGTTTGCTTCCCCTATCTCTAGCCAGCTCCCTATCGAGCTGTGCCGTGCAAGTGGCGTCTGCTCCAACAAGCATACACAGAGGTTCTCAGGCAGGGAAAAGAGGACTGCATGCGGATCCTGAGATTCTCTGCGTGATTGCTGGGCCTACAGCAGGTTATGACCAAAAGCTAGCTGAGGGCAAGGGTGTCTGACCTTTGCAGCTTGAGAGCTGAATGCCATTTCTCAGGGCTGCCTTCAAGTAGGCCTCAGGGCTGCCTTCAAGTAGCCAAGAGCATTTTGGCATATTTTAAGAAAGGCTTTGACTGCTAGTAACTAAGTCTTAGGAGAGGCATTAGAACCTTTTGGAAGTCGGGGATGAAGTATATAGCCAAGAGTCTGAGGTAAGGGGGTGAGGCCACTAGAAGAAGGCATATTTGCTAGTCGGCTAGAACTTGTACATGAGCTTAAGCTTCAGCAGCCTTGCTTTAGGAATGTTTCACTGGGAATGAAGTAAATTACCAATATATTTCTGTTAACCCCTTAACAACTGCATTTCATTTGTTTGTAACCTTTGGACATTTCAGTTATCTGAATTACATCTAGTGAGGCTCATGCTCCAGGCTCTGTTGGAGCAAAATTGATGCATTATAATGGAACAGCAGGAACACATTCTCGAATGTGCAGCGTTTGGGCCAAGTCAAGCAAGGGATTTTCAGACTCCACTGCTGACAATAAATAGATACAATTAGAGAAAGGAATTTTCTGTCTGGAGTCTATGCTATAGAAGCTATACTCTGAAGTGTACAGCAACAAGCTTAGGAATGTTGTTGATTCATGTATCAGCTAATACCCTATTTAAGTTAGATATGCTGAAACCCATTATTTCATTAGGCATAAGATATGGGGTGATAATCTTCATTCTCCAGTCATTACATCAGAGGTAGCCCCTGGGTATAACTCAGGGCCCAGCTGAATACTGAGTCAGACCCTTGTTCTGTCTAGCCCAGCGTTATTGATACTGACTGGAAGTAGCTCTCCAGAGTTTCTGGCAGAACTTTTTCTGCCTACCCAGAGATGCTGCCTATTGAACCTTGGACTCTCCACAAGCTCAGCATACACTGAGCTATGATCCCTGCCCCCAGACCTCAGAATCTGGTGCACTACAAAATATTTTTAAAGGGTATTTTTTGGTAGCAAGTTCCCAGTAATGATTACAAGCATAACACTTTCTCATTAAATATACTGAGCTATATATATTCATCTCTTTGGTGTTGAAGACAGAACCCAGCACAGCTTTGTGCTGGTGTTCTGTTGGTGCTGTACAAGTCCTTGCAACTTTGCAGTTCATCAGCTTTTCAGGCAGCAGGACATATGTTGATGCTCACAGCACCACTGACCAAAGCCGCCTTGCTGAAACTCACTCGCCTTTCATCAATCATAAAGTTACGGATACATCCAGCAAAGGAATTGCGTGTAGTTAGGCTGAACGTCAGGAGAGATTCTGTAGAAAGGTTAAAAAAACAAAAACATAACCATATTGGCCAAATATAAGATTAAAATATCTGCATGCAATGGCATTTTTTAGAGTTGTCCTAATGAAAAGGCACCTAATTGTGTAAAATACAGAATGTGACTTGTTTTAATTGTTATCTTATGCACATTTAAACAGGAAAAAAGTCATACAATTCCTTAAAGGTTTTAAGACCTTTTTCTGTTTAAACATGCATAGGATTGTGCTCTTATTCTCTGCCAATAACTTTGATTTCTACCAGAAAATTTTCAGTGATTTAGAAGTTTTAATAATTTTCACTGAATCAGTTTAATTCAACATTCAAGTATGCTTTATACAACCAGACTTTTAATGCAACAAGAAGTACAGATCATGTATTGGATCCAGAAAAATGCCCAGGGAAGGGGGAGTGCAGCTAGAGAGCTTTCTGCCAGCTTTTGCCCTTGACAACTGCCTGAGCACACCACAAAAAATCCCCCCTCCTAAACACTCTATTGAATGAGACAGGCTGTGGCAGAAGAGGCTTAATGGGAATCTCTCAAAATCAAGAAGAAGATTAAATGGAATTTATCAGGATTTCTCAGCTGTAAGGTATACAGCTTGGCATAAACATTGTCAATTTATTGTTCATGGAAAAAGGGCATAAGTGATTATTTAGGCATCCTGTTCAAAATGGTAACTGATGCTCAGTTACGGACAGACATCTGAGTGGGATGGTGTAAATTGGTGTCCTGCAACAGCAGGGGGTTGGACCCAATGGCCTTCACGGCTGCTTCTAACTCTATTATTCCATGATCCTATGCTGCTCAGCTTTTATCCTTCTTAAAACCCATCCTGATTGTTATCCAAGGTGGGTATCATCTCTTACAAACACAAGCTACTCTGAAAACCCATGGGTTGTTCCAGGGTTGCTGTCATGCATGTTGAGTTGTATTGTCCAGTTCTGGATGACAGAGCCCAGTTTGGGTGAGCCCCAACAGCCAGTGCTTAGCAAGAGTGACAGAGTCCAAACAACACTTAGTGACTGCTTTATAAGCCCTCCCTTGTCCACAATGGTGTGGAATGAGCACTAGAATTTTCAAGCCTCCAGCATGGAGGAATGGATATTCTTGCTGGCAGCTTGGGGTAGCCAGGATCCTCTTTTCTGTGCCAAGGCTGTGAGGGCTCCCTCATTGCCAGTGGATCCAGGCCATCCTTGATGGCAGTCAAGAGTAGACTTCTCCAGCTACCCAAAGAGATTTTTTTTGTCCTCCTAGGGCAAACAGTACTTGTGTCTTGGAATGAAATGGGTCAATTTTCTGTCACAACTGGCACCACAAGTAGGTGGGTTCCCATTGCTCCCTTGCTGAGGCTGGTAATTGGTACCTCATTGCACTTCAGGGAACAAGTGCCGTTTGTGCAACGGGGACTTTCTGACAGCTGCAACTGTGACTATCAGACAGAGGAGACTTGTTCTTCCTTATGGTGTGTCTCCTGTACACTGCCTGAAGAAAGGAGGGAGGAGGAGGATGAAAAGAAAGAACCTACAATGTGCTTGTTAAGCTTATTGTGGTTACTTTGCAAAACAACCCGCCTACCATGGCATATGACCAGGGTAAGGTACTGTGTTGTGTGAACTCATCCATTGTTTGCAAAACCTTTGGACTATGTGATTGTTTGTCTTTCTGATGTGGAATTGACAAAAACATTATGCTCTAAAGGTTACAATCATGCTAAATGGTTCCAAGATATTCACTTCTTCTTAGTGGCATTCTTAACTGGTTTTCAAGGCACAGAGAATTAGCATTACCGGTTTCCAGTATAAAAGAAAAGTTTCTACTGAGGATAATTTACAAATTGTTGAAATTATCAGAGCTGCAGGCACATGAATTTGCAAGGGGTGGAATAATATATTGAATTACATAAAACTCATGATCTTGACCATTACTGCAGCATAGGTCTATGGGTCACTCAGTTATTTTACAAAATGCATCTACAGAAACTCCTCTGCATAGAGTTAATGAGCATGTTTTGTATTCAGTGTACAACTATTACTTGTGAAGGACATTAATTTTTCAATAAAAGATATATAAATGACAAAATATGGGCGTTTGCTCAATAAATGAAGAACATAAAGAATATGATTTTTACTTTACAGAAAAAAAGAAATCTTGAAAACAGTGAACTACCCTTGGAAAAGAAGATTTAAAATTTTAACAACACTTACCTGGTACTCCTCCAACAAACACAGGCTCTCTGTGGTCAACTGATCTTGGATTTAATGGTCCTACAACATGATTCACTTCTGAATCTACATCCAGCTGCACCACATTAGCATCTCTAATAACTGTAAGGGAAAATAGACAAGGATAGTACAGACTAGTGCTTTTTAGTGCATACAGAGTATATGTAATTCTACTAATATACTTGAAAGGACCAAAAATCCTAAAGAGGTAGGTAGCTATCCCATATTTTAGGTCTTCTTTCCCACAAGTGTTGGACACAGCATGGTCCTTGAAATCCAAAGAGCCAGTGGCAGCCATACTAGCAAGCTGTAGCTCAATGGCAGAACACACGGTTTGTGGAGCAGGGCTCCATTTCAAGCATGGACAACCTGTAGCCTTCCAGAAGTTTTGGCATACAGCTCCCATAATCCCTCACCATTGGATATGCTGGTTAAGTCTGATGAGAGTACAAACCAGGTCAAAACATCTGAGGGGCCACAAGCTGCCTATCTCTGCTTCCGTTAGTGCACGCTAGCTAGCAGATCTGGGAAAGGCTTAAGTTCAAGGGCTTGGTGAATTACTCTGAGGATTAAAGAACCAATGGACTAATTCCATATAATTTATAATGGGTATATTCTGGCAGACGTATCTTAGTGTCCGCACTATAGCACATCACACACACATCTTAGATTACTTTTCATACTCATCAATCCTTGACCCACAGACACAAAGGCACAATTTGCATTCATATTTCACAACAGAGGAACAAACTGGCATGCAAGGAGCAGCCAAAGAAGCACAGAAGTGTATAATGCCATGTGACATTAAGAATCAGTGAACTGTCCTAGAGATTATGGAAGACTGCAGGGCATTGCTGTTTCTAATCAGCAATTAATAAACATGCATTTCCAACACTGGTTTATTGGGCCTATTGTATGGGATGGTATAATATACTTTATTTCTGCCATTCTTCATTAAGCAACCATAACTTAGAATTTGAACAACAGAATTTTTGAGATTTTGTCACTCCCTTTTACAGGGTATAAGCACTGCTTGGTTAGTCCACGTGCATGACCTAATTTAGATAAAAGAAAGGGAAGATCAAGAGTAACTGTCATAATAGGGCTTTGGAGATTTACTCACCTGCAATTCTGTGCCATCTGCCATCGCAGATATTCTGTTTAGGCATAACTAAAGTTGAAAAGTCTTTGATTCCATTGTTCAGCTTCACAATAACCTAGCAAAACAATTTAATCATATTAGGAAACCTAATTTTGCCCCCCCAAATATCTGATTATCTTTTTTTTAAAGCAGCATTGTAAATCAATTTTTATAGCCTCAAAATAAACTAGCATGACATTATACCAGGGACATAGTTCTTTCTTACTTTAATAGCTACTATTTAGGATGCAGTCCTATATGCATTTTTGACCTGAAAGTAAGCACCATTGAATTCAGTGGGACTTACTTCTGAGTAGACATGCATAGGCTCACACTACTTGGGCCATACTTTTTAAAATTTCAACCTAAGGTAACATAAGAATTCATCAAGTCATGTGGAGTTGAAATGATGGCAATGTTCTGAATGAGGAATGCGTCCTATTTTTATGCATCTTAAGAGTGTTCACTGTCTTCAAAGCCTTTTGAAAAGTTTAATAAAGTTTCTGTTTAGTTATGGCACTATGGTTATTACATTTTTTATCATCTTAATTTCAAACAAGTAACTGTACAGTTCTTGGAATCAACAACCCATTTCACAGATTAAACCTGTAGTCCTTCTATTTTCTACAGGGACTCATCCTGTTCATAAAGGGTAAGGTTAGTTAATGAGCGCAAGGTGGGAAGGATCATGTAAGCTATAGTCATGTAGTTTTTTTGCTATCTTTAGCATGTACATTTGCAAAGAAACTCTTTGGTGAATGTTAGTATAATTGCAAAGCTATTAAGCAGAATGATCCAAATCACCAGATCTGTGGTTGGGTTAGAATTGGACAGAGGCTTCCTCCCCCTGGCAGAGAAGAGCTGCTGGCATGGCTGTCTGTCTCTGCTCACTTCAACAGTTCTGCCCAAAAGGCTCCCCAGGTAGAAAAGTACACCTGGCACTGATCCTGCTGTGGCAAAGATGGGATTCTTTGGAGCTGAGGGAGGAGACTTGGGATGAAGTGGCAGATCCGTAGCTTCATTTCTCCCCAAGTAACATTTAGGATTACACTGGAAAAGTCTCATCTTGTCACATGTGTTCCCCTCCCTGTCCCTCCAACGAATGCAATTCTTCAGATGGGAGATGCTTATTATCAGCTCCTCACCATTGGAAGGCCTCCCATGAGGGGAAAGCTGTCTCTGTGCAGGGTTGTGTGTCCCTCATAAGAAACACTGACTGGATTACTAAAGTAGCATGTACATAGTAAGCGTTCAGCATCACATATATTATTTTGGTCATTCTCGCAAGTCTTGAAAGTCAGTCAGGGAGATGAGGCTGAAAAACAGTGGCTCACCTGCGGCCATATAGTGAAGTTTTTAGATAAGCTGTAATTGGAAGTCCCTCTTATTTCACAGTCAAAGCTACAACAGTATATTAGCATCACCAATGCTCAAACAGTTGTCTTTCTTAAAGAAATAAACAACCAATTGGTTTTCAGAAGCATGCAGTACCATTACATTCAGTACACCTTAAAATTCTTTGGGAAATAAGATATCCCCAAAGTGTTTGCCCAATCAGACATCTGATTTTATTTGTTCTTCAGCTTCTGGCTTTTCTTTTACTTCTCCACATAGTATTCAAGAGGCCTTACACACCGGGGTCTGAACAGAGCGCTGATAGTTTCAATACATGCTGTAAATAAATAATTGGTTGATCCAAAAGTGAGGAAAAGTTGTCTAACTTTCAGCAGTGCTCAGTGTAGCACATTTGTACCAGTTATACATCTTTAATGCTTTCATAAGGCAGCACTACCAAGATGTCAGCATTCTTGCCTTTTATCTTGACACCCAACACTTTTACTGATACCATAATGGAAGTGTTCTGATGTTATATTAATGGTTGACTCAAACTACTGTGTTGTTCCTTTTCCAGTTAGGCTGGGGACTTATTTTCAGAAACTAGAATGTGTTGATATTAACAGCGATTTTAGTTGGTACACAAATCTTCAAGATAAAAAAGAGTGTAGAGTATGCCATCTGAAAAAGCACACAAGAAGGATGTAAATGGAATTATTACATACCTGTCCTTCTTTCATGTGTATATTCAGGAACTCTCCATTTACACTGTGTGCATGCATTAAGATTCCTGAACTGCGTCGAGGACGGATTTCAAAAACCACTTCAAATTTCAGACCCAAACTGAAGGATTCATCTGCAAGGAGAAATCATGACAAATCACAGGCTGTTTGTTTTGCTGTCTGGTTACTCAACTGCTACAGGATATGAGGATCTAACTGTGACTTCCAATTCTGAATTTAACTTTTTATGTTGGATTTTTTTAAAATTTTGTGACACTAAGACATGATTCTAAGACATCTTCTAGAGGGCCTTTCCTGTGTTTTCCAGCTCTTTTCAAAGTGAAACAAAAGCAAAAAGTGACAAAAATACTGAAAGCTATTCAGAAATCCTGAATGCAACTTTTCAGTGACTATCATGTAGTGGCAAGAATAATTATTACAATGATCAGTGAAAAGAAATAGAAGAGAGCAACAAAAGAAGAAAAACAAGTGACCTCTTCCAAATGATCAAAGGGAAATCCAAGCCTAGAATAGGAAAGCAAAAAGACAAAAAAGGGAACATACTATCTGACCAAAAGAAAATAGAGAAGGTGGAAAGAATATACAGAAGAACTATACAAAGAGATTTAAAGATGACAGACCTCTTCAAAGCAGAATCCTGTGAAGAAGAGACTGCAATATTAGAAAACAAAGTGAAAGCTACTCTGAAAGCACTCACAAAGAATACGACACCTGGACTAGACAGGATACCAATAGAAGTATTCCAAGCCACAGAATACAAATCAGGCCAGTTCCTAATACAAATATGGAAAACAAAGCAATGACCTACAGACTGGAAATGTTCAATGCATATGCCAGTCTCCAAGGAAAGAGATCCAAAGAGTGCAGCAACCATAGGATCACTGCATTAATCTTCCATGCAAGGAAAGTGATGCTCAAAGAATTGCAACAAAGAATACTACCCAATATTGAACAAGAAATGCCAGACATCTAAGCTGGATTCTGAAAAAGAAGAGACACTAGGGATCATATTGCAAATATATGTTGGCCACTGGAGCACACCAAAGAATTTCAGAAGATATGTCTGTGTTTTGTAGACTATAGCAAAACCTTTGACTATAGAAACTACAGAAGCTACAGTCTAAAGACTGTAGATCACAAGAAGCTGTGGATGCTTGTAAACAAAACAGGTGCTGCCACGGCACTTGATTGTCCCATGCATAACCTGCATCACAGACAAGCAACAGGTAGGACAGAATACGGAGAAGCAGAATGGTTCCCATAAGTAAAGGTGTCAGACAAGGACCTATTTTATCTCCCTATCTGTTCAGTCTGTATGCAGAACGTATAAGGAAAGCTGGATTAGAATCGAAGGAAGGAGTGAAAATTTGTAGAAGTATCACTAATTTAAGATATGTAGATGATACCATCCTAGTAGCAGAAAGCAGTTCTGATAAAAAACAGAACTTTTCTTAGAAGCAAAAATGACAAAACTGAGGTTGTCATACTTTGGACACATTAAAAGAAGGCCGGGCTCACTGCAGAAGACAATCCTGTGGTCAGTCAAAGGCAGAAGATGAAAGAGAAGCCCAAATATGAGATGGATTGAATCCAAAACTACAGCCCTGAACTTGAAAATACTGGATGGAGCTATGATGGACAAGACATTGTGATGGCTTTCATTCATAGGGTTGCAATAGGTCAAAGACAACTTGATGGCACATAACAACAGAACATGCAGTATTAATTTTCAAACCGGAAGAAAAGCATCGTATAAAATTGTAATTCTGCTATATGGCAGCTACTGCACCACACCACTTTGAGCTTGTTTAACAGAATGTATAGAAACACAGAAAAGTACAAAACCTGGGGGAAAAGTTCCATGTAAAGGAGACATTTTCCCCTCTCCCAGTGAAAATGGAAGAAGCTGCAGCAAAGCGGAGGGTTAAATGCCTCATGTAGAGAACTGCAATTTTGACTTGGACTATTTTTCCTTTATTTGCTCAATGTATTCATCATGGGGACTGCGAATGGCACAGTGGTTTAAACTGCTGAGCTGCTGGGCTGGTTGATCGAAAGAACGACAGTTTGAATCTGCACGATGGGGTGAGCTCTCATTGATTCGTCCCAGCTCCTGCCAACCGTGCAGTTCGAAAGCATACACATGCAAGTAGATGAAAAGGTACCACTTCGGTGGGCAGGTAACAGCGTTCCGAGCAGTCCGGTGTTTAGTCATGCCGGCCACATGACCACGGAAATGGTCTGCGGACAAATGCTGGCTCCCTTGGCTAGGAAACGGAGATGAGCACTACTCCTAAGAGTCAGATATGACTGGACTTTAATGTCATGGGGAAACCTTTACCTTTATTCATCATGACTGAGCAATATGCTGATTTTGTCAGACAGGCTGCTTCAATGCTTATTAGTTTTGGGGTGAGTAACTGCCAGACACAATTTCTTTTACACAGGCACAAATTCAAAGTTTTTTTTTTTTAAGCTGTAATGCTATAACCGCTTTGGATTAAGACCCATTGAACTCACTGGGACTTACTTATGAGTAGATCTGCATGGGACTACAGTACTAATGGCTTCATCTTACCCTCTGCTGTATAAGCATAACAACATATGTGCTGACATTCACAGCTTCTCTGCCAGAGCAAAGTCAGACTTTATGGCATTGCATTAATGGCTGGACCAGATTCGGCAACTGGTGTAGCAGTAGTGCTGCTAGTGCTTGACTCCAAAGGAAACAGTGAGGTATGCAGAGCAGGTGAATGGAGGTGGGGAGCAAGTTATTCCCTCACGTGCCAGTAGAAAACCCAGTACAGATTTAAAATAAATGTTAGATAATCAGTCCAATTATCTCTCTTCTCTTCATCTGCATGCATCACTCTGATGAAACAGGCATAAAAATAGTGATTAGTGACATGTTACCAAGAATAATATATCCTCCTTCCGATGAAAAATATGTTCCTTCTTCTGATGGTCCTTCAAAACAAGGAGTTACACTAAATGTCTGTGAAGGAGAAGTGACTGGTCTTCCATTGAGCAATAAGCTGCCAAGACAACCGCTAAAGCTGTAGACTGAGTTAATCTGAGAAAACAAAATGGAGATTAAAAAAACTGGCTGTATGAGAAAAAGAATAATCCTTTGGTTCTTCCATGCAATTCAATTGTATAATTGCTTATAAATTCTATGGAAACAACTCTTTATTTTAGTTAAATGAAGGGAAAGCCAAGAAAGATAAAGATGCTTTCATTATATCTTTAGAAAATCCAGAGTACACAAGTGACCAGAAACTATCAACAGATTCAAATGCAGGACAGATTCTTCTTAATTACAACAGCCATTCAAGAGATGCAGAGCTTGCTAAAACGACTCCAGCATTTTCTTTATATTGATTACCATGAAGTTAGCCTGAGGAATAGAATATAAACATTGCCTCAACCCCAAAGCAATTTTTGTAAGCACTGTTACTTAGAAGCAAGTTCCACTAACAGAGAGTAAATTCCATTGAACATAGTGTGGCACAGTTATGCATAAGAATATACTGTCAGGATTTGCATAAGAATATACTTTCACTCTACTCCTTATTGGAATCACTTGGTGCACATTAAGCAGTATGCTGGCCTTCAGTTTATCTCCTTAGTTTGGGGAAGGGAAGTGGGGAGCTTCTTTAGAAATATATTTATTCATGCTTTATTGTGGAATACATACATTACCTGGATATTTTTAGCAGCTTTTCCTGGTGCCACACCCCCTATATAAAAAGGGCTAACAACATGCCATGTATTGTCAAAAGAGGAAAGACTGTTTTGTAGTACTCGGAGACCATCAATTACCAAACGGCCAGCATTTTTCTCCCGAACAAACATTACCTAAATTAAAAAAAAGATATTTAACCTGAAGAGACTGAAAAATGTATAACTTAATTATATATAAAGCATAATAATTTTTGTTTTATAGAACTTCGTTGGATTGATTTTGCAACTGGTAATTCTTCAGCCACTCAATTACAGGATAAAGATCAAACTTTAACTAAAACAATAGATTATGAATTTTGCTTCTTTCAGTGATGTGTATTGGCTGAAATCCTATACTTATTTCCCCCAGGAATAAATCCAATTTAACTCAATGGGGGTTCTTCTGAGTAGCCTGTCTGGTCTTGCATTGTCTATTTCCCCAATTTCTATGGAAAAATAAGTTCCATGAATGTATACACTAGTGATATGGGTCTTACGGATGTGTTTACACTGAACATATTTATGGAAGTTTCAGATAAGCTGGTGTAGTCTGCACTTCCATAGTATGTTGTGCTGTTGTTACTTCTATTTGTTTTCATTTGTTCTTGCATTGTTCCTGTCTTTTATTGCAATAGGAGCTGCTGTGGAAGCCTTGAGGCAGAACAATGGGGTCTGATATAAAAGAAAAGGTAATAAATAATGAATACTCAACCTTGCTGCTATGTTTATCTTTGGTTTACCCAGCCTGGCTTTTAAAGTCTTAAAAACTTCATGTAGCTTTACCTTTACCTTGCATATTATAGCCTACTAATTTTACATTCTTTAACAACGCTGTGTGGGTGAAGACTATCATACGCCATAATTGATCTTTCACTAAGGGTGGATTTAAGTAGTAAATATTGGACCTCTTTGGATATTTTCAGCTGTTAGTTTTCCAATATATGCAATAGGTTTGGCAAAATGCCCTGCCTAATAAGCCATGGAACCATCAGGCTAGATTCAGGTAACCATTGCCCCAACAAATGAAAACATTTATAGTCATGTGGGTGAAAAATACAGTGAGATGTTTGTAACCATAGAAAAATTTATCTAATCCTTTCTGACAATCTGAAATTACTGATTGAGAAATAATCATTGTTTTAACTCACCATAATAAGATCATGAAAGATTATCCAGCATTCTTTCCCCCAAAGTTCTGGTATGACTTGACATGCTTATATATAAAAGCCATACAATTTGTCATAGTTATTTAAAGGCACAATCCTCTGCAAGCTTAGAAAGAAAAAGGGCCTACAACTTCCAGTATACCCCAGTCACCTATGTTAGTGGGGCATGCTGACAGTTTTAGGTCTTTCATCTTTCTAAATTTGCATAGATTCACATGCTAAGTCTGTTATTTTATTATAACAAACCCCAGTGAACACCAATTCAGATTCTATTCAGCTTTGAAAAAGCCATGTTATGCTTTCTGTCTTTCCCCCACCTTTAACTTACATTGTGCCATTGATCATCATTGTACTTCTCTTGAGTTCTAATTCTTAATTTTTGTTGGCCACTATTAAAGATAAAAATCAATCGGCCATGGGCAATAAAGAGGGCCATGAAATTGTCCTCTTCTTGATCAGAGACATAGAATATCATTCCATGGGATGACTGAGTCTTCAGAGTAATGGAGAACTGAGATCTGTTGAACAAAAATTATGTTAGAATATGTGAATGAACAACAGCTCTGTGGAAAGCAAAGAATGAAAAATATATATACAGCATGCTGAGAAAAATACTTGTGCAATGTTCAAAATCTCTCTAGTTTGGTTTTTATTTTGCCAGATTACTAAAAATATAAATCATTTAAAATATCATACATTTATCACACTAGTTTTATTAGTGTACTGTACCTTTCATTGAAATCCTTTGGTAAGTAATCAAATTCTTGCCGGCTATTTGCTGTACCTCCAAACAGATACGTATGTTCAGTTGCTTTGGGGCTGTTGGATAAGAGGCAGTGTGGGTCCCTCTGAACTCTCAGTTCTTGATTCATTTTGTTTAGATTCAGTGAAAACTGTGATAATCCTTCACTGTCTTTTTCATTCTTCATACAAAGGAAATAATAAATTAACTCTTTGTTAAGTTTATTTATTTATTTGGAATTTTTGTATGCCGTCCCATTCGCATAAGCCTCGGGACGGCTTCCAACATCATAAACATTCGTACAGAAAGTACATATAAAATCTGGAGTCATGCTGGCTAAAAATTTAAAACCAATAAATAATATTAGCAATTATTAAAATATTGTTTAAATAAAAAGGTCTTGGCCTGGTGCCAAAAAACAAATAATGACAGCGCCAGGCAGATCTCTCTGGGGAGCACTGTAGAACTGGTAAAATGTTCATGTTTTCTACTGCTATGACTTATACATTCCATTTCAGTGCAGATGGGAAAGGTTTAATCTTCTCTCAAGCAGGTCAGTGTTGAGTTACATCAAAAGTGATGGTAAGACAGCTAATGGAGATATTGCTTATATTGTTTTTGAAACATTAAAAAACTCTTACTAAAATATGCAAGCTGCTCAGGGAGACATGGGGGAAATGATTGTAGCCTATGCAGCTTTTTAAATATGGATCTGCTCTATTACATATGAGAGTGTATTGGGGGAACAGGGATAAGGAGAGATTGTTGCTGTTAGAGTAATATGGAAATGGTGACACACTCCTAAGATGTCCAGTTCATGTGTCCTGCCTGCCTCTGCAGTTCAGATGCTTTTATTCTCAGCCAGACTTCCAGAACAGAAATTAAGTCAGACATCCAGAAGCCTTAGAAAGAGACTAAGGGAAACAAATGTCTCTTTCCCATGAGTGCCCTTTGCTTTTAAAATCAGATCCCAGCCCTTCTGTAAATATGCATGCAGCAGAACTGAGCTGAAACAGGCCTTCAAGCATCACATTGAATGTTTCCCTACAGCTGCTTTTTCCCAAGTAAATAAGTAAGTAAAATAAATAGTAGGTCAAGGAAGTATGGTGCACTCCAGGTTCAGCACTGAAGAGTGTAACCAGGAATAAACAGGGAATATCCTTGGAGCTTCAGAATACTGATAATGTTCTTAATCTAATTCCACATGATTATTTTCATATGTCTGCTATGTTTGGTATGTGTTAAAGGTACAGTTTATACTTCAATGGAATGGCATTTTTGCTGACTTTATGACTATAGTTTAAAAACACACATTAACAGTGCCTTCAGCTTTATCCACCACTACAATGTGTCCTTCAAGAGGTTTCCAAAATGAAATTTGGCCCTTGGGCTGAAAGGTGTATAACAGACTTAAAAGTTCTTTAGGATCTGTAACATTTCACAGATGTTTGCTTTAAATATCTAATCTATCTTTCTGAGATAACCTACTTTGTAAATGCATGCTTATATATATAAGTGGGATGATATCCAAGTATCTTAGTATCTTGGTACAGTAGCTGCCTTAGCTTAATTAAGAGAAAGCATAATGATATGACGGTTAAATTACTGCTATAAAAAAATCCCAATTTTAATAACTTTTTTGGGACCAATTTCAGTTGACCTAAGCCTCATTCTGAATTAAAGAAAAGTGCTGCAGTAGAATCATTTGCAATTAAGAAAGCACTGAAAATAACAAACCCCTTTGTTTTTCAGTTAGTAAGGCTTTACTTTACCCATATGATATGACCCAAAGAAGTATCCTGTTTAACCCTGGTGTATTGTGGTGTAGCATTTAGAGTGAGGGACTGAAACTAGGGAGATCTGGTTCTAGTTCCTATTCAGCCATGGGTAGCTTTGGCCCTAACCCATTCTTGGCCTAACCATTTCACAGAATTGTTGTCTGAATAAAATGGAGGAGAATAATGTACACCATCTTGGCTTCTCGTAGGAAAAGAGAAGATAAATGTAACAAACAAAATATCTCAGTAGCTCTGAACTAGATACTAACACTAACCCTTTTATTGTAGCTTTCTTTGGACTTGGAGGAATTTTTTCTTTTCTTATGGAGCAGGGCAGCTGGAGGAGTTTCAACAGGACACCCATACAGGGAGACTTGGATTTTCTCAGGGTATCGCTGGAAGTCTTCGACCTCAACATCCCGATCCAATCTATTAAAAAACAAAGTGCAATGTAACCTTCAAACTATGATTTTGCATGTAGAGATAGTATTTTTCAGGGAAGAAAGAACAAGATTTTGTTTTTTAAAATGACTTGCCTATTAAATCTCTATGTGAATGCAGCTAATACATGGGAACACATGTTTTTTGGCCTTTCTGTTGCCAACAAGATAAAAAATATGCTGCATGCACAGCTGAGCACTGCTGCTTGTGGCTTGTGTGTTGTATTCGTGATTATGATGAAAATACAAATATGTATAAGTAGCAAGCTGAATGTTGGTATCATGGAAAAATAACTGGAGAAATAGTCTAAATCAAATTTCAGCAGAAACAATGCAGAATCTGTTGGCCATGCATCAGACACTTTAGTGGCATTGAAAATGCCGGGCTCTCACTCACTTTAAAGAAGTTTTTTAGTAGCGTATCACAGTATCAGATGAACCCTTTTCACCTCCATGCCATCTTAAAGGCTTCCAATGGCTGCTGACAGATTACAACATGATTAGGTAAAGAGACTGATATGTTGGAGTCTCGAACCTTTCTGTTTGGGGTTCTGGCCATCCCATCCCATCCTTCTTTTGCATGTTTTTTCTCACCCACAGCAGTCAGTAAGTGTCCTGCAGGCACTGAACATGCCCAGTTTCCATTGGCCTGTTTGAAAGCTGGTAATGTGGTGGTTAGAGTGTTGGTCTGTGGACCTGGAAGATCTGGGTTCTAGTCCCCACTTGGCCATAAAATCCACTGGGTGACTCTGGGCTTGTCACTCACTCTCAACTAAACTGAGATCTATAGACAACCCTCGAGGAAGTGACTTCCTTCAGATACTGAGATTGTTCTTTCCACATTTTTACATCAATGTGGTTTTTTTCCTTCTCGCACTTTTTCAACCCCTCTCTATTATCTATCTCATCTAGCTGGCACTTTCTGAGTCTCAATCACTACATCTTCTGTATCACTGTATTCTCATGGAGCTGTTTTTACTTACATGCTTACTCCATGAGGTTGTTTTATACCTGCAAACCTCAGAATGATGAGTCTATTAATGAAAAAGGGTAGTATATATTTTGCTACATCTTGGCTAAGAAACAAGACACATTCTAACTGAAATACACTTACCTTGTGAAATAGGCATTGCTTATACAGCCAGTAAAGTTGGCAAATCCAGTATTGATCGGGGAGCCACCAAAGTAGAATTTCTTGCCATCCATAGTCTTTTCCCCAACTCCATTCTTTGCCAAATTATCTGTGAACTGCTTTTTTTCATCTACCAAAAGCATAAGCCTGCAGAGAGAAAACATGCTTCCTCTCAAGGATCTTTTAAATTCATCTGTTTAGCAAGTGCTAATATACATTGTGGTAGCAACTTAACTGTTTTGATCATGCTGACCTTGATGAACAACTCACTAGGTGGCACCATCAACACAAGAGTACATTCTGAAATGAACTGCATTGCAATAAGCCTCTTTGCATCGACTTTCTTCTGGCAATACTGAAGGACTTAGAAGCTACTCACTGTTATGCTAAAGCAAATATACTGCAGGAGGGATGGGAAGGAAACTCACTGAATTTCTCCTTTGAATGCAATTTTGCAATAAATTTATTAATTAAAAATAATCCCATAGTAGGAGAAATGTGCACAAAATATGTATCTTGGGAGAAAGTGTCCACAGAACCACATTATATTAAGGAAAATCAATTGCAAAAATTGGTATAATTAGAAAACTGCACAGAAAAATGTATCTATATAAATTCACATGCAAATGCATACAATTTGTGCAGATCAGGATGGAATAAACTTATTCTAGAAAAATGGAGAAACCGAATGGAATGAAAGTGGACAGACTGATTTATCTCTGTGCTATAGCAGCATGCCAGACAAAAGTAGTAGCAATGGAAAATCCATCACATTTCTGTAGTATGGTTCATGTCTTGCTCTGATATAACCTACTAAAATGAACAGAGATGGTGGATGGACTGCTTGGCCTGTCTGCATTGACCCTACTTGTGCCCTCATTTACAGTGGTACCACAGCTCATGAACACCTTGGTTCACGAACAAATTGGGTCAAGAACAAAAATTTCTGAAAAAATTTGACTTGGGTTGCAAACACCGTTTTGCGTGGCGACCAAGATCGCAGCCATCTCTCCCCACTCCTGAGTGGGGAGATGGCCACGATCCCAGTTGCTTTTGTGCAGGGAAGGCATGTGTGATCAGAGGCTGCAGGAACGACAGGAGCAGCAAAGCAGAGCCATGGGGGAGATGGCCGAGATTCCACCTGTCTTTCCTGCAGGAGGGCGCCTCTGATACCGCACAAATTCCCTGCACAAACAACTGCGATCGCGGCCATCTCCCTACCCTCAGTGCACCGTTTGCGCCCATCTCTCCCTCCCCCAGTGCACCCGCGATCACGCCCATCTCCCCCCCCCCTCCAGAGCACCAGGATGACGGGTGCCTGCAGGGATGACAGGCGCGATCTCGGTCGTGCTGGGGGGGAGCTGAGGTGAGGGCCGCGCTTGTGCTTGGGGAGATGGCCGCGATCTTTGTTGTTGTCCACTTTGCTTCACATTTTTCTGATTTAAAAAATGGTTACAGAACAGATTAACCTTATTTACATTGAATCTTATGGGGAAATTTAACTTGGCTCACGACCGATTTGGGTCACGACCAGAGTCCTGGAACGGATTAAGTTCGTGAGCCAAGGTACCACTGTATATGTGGCTGCTGGCCCACACCTATGGGAAGGAGCCATGCATAAGATGGCATGATTTCCAGATAGCTTCTTGCCAACTTGGCTCTTGAGAAAGAACAGCTTTGCTGTTGTGCAAGTTTTGGAAGAGAATTTTAAAGCTATTCCATACAAGGTATCGCTCTGGAAGCATATCCCCAGGTAGTATAATAGATTACAAGATGTGTGAAAGAATGAAAATAGTTTATATTTTTACCTTTCTGGTGAGACAGATGTGATAACAAAATGGGATTTCCCATCATTATAGGATTTGTCTGCTGTCTGAACTTTGACACCTTTTGCATTTAAAACAACAGTCCCTTGATCCATAGAAATGGAGAACACATCTGACTGAAACACAGGAAAAGAAAAATGTGTCCACAAGGCATGGGAAGAAAGTTGGTGAATATCTGTGTAATGCTTTTGATTCTTTTACAAGCAGGCAAGTAAGTAAGCTAAGTGCTTCTTTCCATGCGGCTTTTAACTCACTACTTTATTGAGGCTTCTGCTTCCAGATTTTTTGCAGGATTAAGATCAGCTTCTATAAATGTTTTCCCCTTGGTTTTTTTCTCTGTGCTTCCAGATGCTCCACTACAGAACCATAAAGCAGCATTGCAGTATAACAGAATGGCCAACATACATGTTCTTCTCATAGCCTGATTTCCAGATAATTCTATGTTTTCCTAACTCTAACAGGTCATGGAAATGATTGGAAAGCATGGAAAAGGCCACGGAGGATGGTGATCTAATGTAAAGCACCTGCAGGCTATTGTGCATGAGGAATCAAGCACATAATAAATGCCCCATGCAGAGAAGCCCTGAGTAAAGAGTCAAAACTGACATGATGCTAAATGTGAGAATGCATTTAATGTGTCTGCTCTTTACCCTAACAATAGTCTTCATGGGGGCAGGAGCACACCGAAGTGGGACAGTGTGTGGGAAGTCTGGTGGGCTTTTGTGCTGGAATAGATGGTGTGCTGGAAGAGTCATGCCTCCATGTTCTTCCTATCTCAGTTGTGCTTCCTATTTCAGTTGTGTTCAGCTGTTTTTCATGTTTCATTCAGCTGAGTGAATTAAGCATGCTGGTGATGAAGACTCCCTGCACACTATCTCCTCCCTTTCATTCATGATCCCAGCAGCCCACTGAACATGAGGGGCAACATGAGCTTCGCAAGGATAGGGGGGAAATGGTGGCAGTGTGCTTTGATTCCATAGTGGCATGGATGGGATCTGACAGCTTTATTCAGCCTGCAGGTTGCCACATGTGCTAGCAGAATTCCCTGAGCTGGGAACACTGATTGTTTTTTGTGCCCACCAAGAGTTGTAAAGCTGGACTACATAGATGGACACTTGTAGTCCAAGCCAAATTACAAACACTAGAAAACCACTGATTGCTTGTATCAGGCAGGGATTTTTGTTTGTGTCAGGCAGCATACAAGACATTTACATTTACACACAGAGTTCTGCTAAGCAATCATCAGTCAGCTTCTCTGGCCCAGTCTAGAAAAGTCTGGTTGTGCTTTATCAACTGAACAAGGTGCAGATTAGTTGAACTTCTCACTAAATTCAATGGGGCTTAAGTACTACTAGATTCCTCTGCTTTGGGACAAGTAGGATTTAGTATTGGCTGCCCTAGAATATACCCAGTGGTATACAAAATTCTTCAAAAAGTAACCTTTCCTTAAACAGAAAACACCCATTTTTTTATATTTTCCCCAAGTTTTTAAAATGTCTTCTTTTTTAAAGTATAAAAACTATACTTACTCCTTCAGCACAATAGAATAGCAGTCCATTGGGCTGTAAAGTTCGGAAATTAAAACCACCTTCAAATCCATGAAAGAGGGGTATTTTCTGGCTGGATGAAATGTAGCTTTCCCCATTGAAATATGCTTTGCGGGACATCTACTCACCAAGTAAATAAATGAAAGGTTATAAAGATAGTAAGACGTTTGCTCCTGGGGAGGAAAGCTATGGCAAATCTAGACAGCATACTAAAAAGCAGAAACATCACCCTGCCAACAAAAGTGTGTATAGTCAAGGCTATGGTTTTCCCATTTGCAATGTATGGCTTTGAAAATTGGACCATAAGGAAGGCTGAGCGCCGAAGAATTGAGGCCTTTGAATTGTGGTGCTGGAGGAGATTCCTGTGAGTCCCTTGGACCGCAAGGCGATCAAACCGGTCAGTCCTAGAGGAGATCAACACTGACTGTTCTTTAGAAGGCCAGATACTGAAGATGAAACTCAAATACTCTGGCCACCTAATGAGAAGGAAGGACTCCCTGGAGAAGAGCCTAATGCTGGGAACAATAGATGGCAAAAGAAGAAGAGGACAGCAGACAATGAGGTGGCTGGATGGAGTCACTGAAGCAGTTGGTGTGAGCTTAAGTGGACTCCGGGGGATGGTGGAGGACAGGAAGGCCTGGAGGAATGTTGTCCATGGGGTCGTGATGGGTCGGACACGACTTCACAACTAACGACAACAACAGATAAGTATTTAAGAATAATGATACAAAAAAGATTCTGTAAAGCTCAGAGTTGTTACATTCTGGCCAACAATTAGTATACGATTGCTGTTGAGTAGAGTGAGCTCTTATTCCATTTTAAGAGTCTTGGCTTCTGAATATGCATTCATCAAGCACTGCTCTTGTACAGTGTCCATTCCAATGGGTCTCAACTGTTAGTGATGCTCAACTGTATATAACTTGTAAATTGTGCCAGGAAGAGACTATTTGGATGTTATTTCCACCTGGAAATTCTATGCACATGAGCTATTTGGGATATATCTTAGTTTTTGCATTTTCTTTCTACACTTACAGTGCACAGAGCATAAGGAGCATCCAGAGGGACCAATGATCTATTCCCAGTTACATCATACACAACCAGGTTTGCACATAATGCTTGGCCATTATGGTTTATTGAAGGTCACCTTTTGACTGTAATTGGCCCCATCCCTGCAAACAAATATTGGTTTCTTAACCAGTTATAAAATAAAATAAATAAAACTAATTGTTTGCTGTTAGCTCCCCTATTTTTTCCTGGTCCATGTAATGTTCTGCTCATGTTGTATAGCAGAAATCTTGATAGGTTGGGTACCCATAGGATTGTTTGTTGCTTAGCTCTGTACCATAAATATATTGCCTTATATTCTAGTTCAGCTACCTCTAGATAATAGCTTCTTAAGTGAAATGTGGTGTGCGTTTGCCAGCAGTAATTTTTTTTTTTATCATAGATCTTTAGAAACATAGTTCTGCCAGTGGCTCAATTTGTTCCCCTTTTTGAAGCTTTGAGGCCACAAAATACTTTGATGTGAGAGTTCCTTTTGTTACTTCAAAATACTGGAGCTGAAATTGCAGTTGTTTGGCATCAAACATTTTATACCTGTCAGAGTGTTTACCCAAGTATGCAAAACTGAAAATATAAAAGCTAGCTTAAATATAAGACAGACATGGGTAGAGTAGGGTGGGAGATACACCTGGAAAGATTTATTAAGCTGTCATACAGCCAAATGAAAACAAATATAATAGGCCTACTACATTGCTTTTCTATTTTGATGTACTTTCTACATTTAATAGCATGTTAAACATTGGTTACCATTAAATGAATGTCATTTATAGAGGGAAGAGTTTTCAGCTAAGAAAAGTATGTTTTCTTGTTCCCTAAGTAATGCAAACTGGTGAGAAAAATCCAGTATTAACATTTTGCATAAAGAGGGAGAAATAACTTAGCACACGCATAAGGAAAATATCTGAATATATGCATCAAGCAATTAAACCATGACCATCAATTGCAAATATAATCCTATACTTACAAGTGATTCTTCTGGGCAGCCATAACCAATTCCCAGGGTTCCTGGCTCCTCTAACAAATTGAAGTCCTTCTTTTGGAACTGGAACCCTTTCATACAACCCCTAAAATTGGTACTGATGGCCAGATGGGAACCGATACCACTGTGAAGAAATGACATATGTTTAGAGGGCAAAGGTGGGCTAACATCATGATGCTAAATAAATGCAAAGTTTCAAAAGCTTTGTAGGAACTGTGACAAAAATTATGCAGGATGACACATAAAGTGGGTCCAAGACCTTTTAGTAGGCTGGGTTCAATATATTTCTCACCCTAAGTAAGATTTTTGTTTTTCAACTGTGTGCAGTGTATGAGTGCATCCATCCCCTAAGACTGGCTTGCTATGAAATGGTGATGAGCAAGATAGTTTCGAAACCTTTTAGCAGGGTGAGTTCAAGACATTTGGCACCCTGAAAGCTTAAGAAAGAAAACACTCCCGAACTTGCGCTATGCTGGTTGACAAAAGACGAGCAATGTGCAGCAGAACACCATTTTAAAAAGCTGGCTACCTCACTCCCATATGGAAAGCTCATCTTCTCCACTCTCCAGTTTTGCAAAATACTGTTTTAGTTACTTGGCTCCATTTTTTTACAAATGTGTAATTGCAACAACACAGTGTAACAGTTCTGTAATCCAACTAGAAAAAAATATTTTAGAATAAAAAAGTTTTGCTACCCCTTTTATTAGTCTAGCTTGTCTGCCAACATCTTGACCCATGGAATTTAGTAGCTAAAATTTTCCTTGCCATTTATCTGTGTTCCAAAAGTTTAACTGACAGGGATTGAATCAGTAATATAAACCAACCTAGATTTTAAAATTTCAGTAGGAGCCCCTCCTATATAGACATCAGTAAATGGCATATTTTTCTTCTCATTTTCCACACTTTTTATATGTCTCCTATCCACAACCAAGATCATTTTCTTGGAATTATGGTATATAACGGATATCTGAAAAGAAAGAAAATTGCAGAGTAAAAGCCCACTCTAGTACAATATTCAAGGCAGTACATAAGACAATATAACAAGGTTTTATAAAGTTTCATTAACAGTGCAGTTCTATGTAAGAAAAAGAAGCAAGTCCCATGGAATAAAATAGAAATAAGTCCCAGGAAAGAGCGTATGCTCGGGCTCGGCAATTTGTGGCCCAGCAATGTTATTGAACTAGAATTCTGACCATCACAACCACCATATCCGGTTGTGAACATAATGAGCATTGTAGGCCAAAGCATCTGGAGGACCACAAGTTGTTCACCCAGGGCCTGTAGGATTGTACTGCAAGAGTTCATAAAATAAGTGAGAGTGAGAGCTTATTTTTGTGCACAGTTCAGCTGGAAGTCCTGCTCAGATCAAACAGGAACATGAGCAGAATGGGGAGACAGACATAAAGCACAGGCTTTATCCCTACCATTAGCATCTCCAGCAAGAGGCGATCTAAAGTAATGGAGTCTAGAGTTGGAAACCAGTCTGATCATGAAGCAGTCTGCTGATGATCCTCTGCCCTGCCCCATCAGAATTAGTTGAGCAGGTGGCAGCAGATCCGACCACGGCATGGAGACCTGAGAGGCCTTCCCTTCCTTGTCTTTCCTTTGCAGTGCTTGGAAGGTGAGTGCCCCAGATGCCAAGGGCTTTGGTTCCTTTGTCCAGAAGAAAACTATTTCTTCCTGGGTCTCTGATACCAGTAGGGAAGGATGGGTGAAGGTTGGAAAGGAAACCTCTCCAGATCTCCCTGTGCTCCACCACTGCTATTATTGCAGTGGTGAAGAGTAAAATAGGCATCACATTCTGATACAAACTTTAGAAATTCTGCAAGTTAGCCCAGAAGGCAGACTGACCTCAAAGCAGGGCAGGGCCAGTTGGCAAGACAGTGAGGAAACAGAATGGGAGAAGCCACTCATTAGGACAAGCACGCTCTAACAGACAATCACACCCTGTGGGGATTCGCTTAATACATAATTGCTTGTATAACCATATTCTGATTGTAAAATAATTCTAAAAGTGGCATTCATCTAATAATTCATTGGAAGGACAAGCACTGGAGAGTAAGCACAGTTATGACGTATTCCATTAGAGTCATTTGTTTCACAGAGTCACTTACATCAAACTGTATTTGGAAATGGCACAACACCTGATGAGAGGGTCATATTTTATTTAAGGTAGCATGTCACCTTATTGTTCTAAATATTCCCATTTCTATACATAGGCATCATTTATTATTTCAAAGTAATTTCTGTCTTTCAACATAGATCACGCAAGGCAGCTGTTAGCAGTCATATAACACACATACTTGTGCACACACAATACAACCAATTAAGAAAGGCCACAATCACCCTTTTAAAAAAAGACAATAACAATGTACCCATCTATACCTCATGGAATCTTGCATCATTAATCACAGCCTTCTTCAATGAATCTTCTAAAATTACAGGGCCATTGGCAAAGCCAAAATCATATTGTAGATATAAGTATCCATTCTGCATCTCTAGGCTGAAGAACATAGTCTGCACATCAGAAAATAACAACAAGGTTTTCCTGAAAGGATTTGTACTATACTTGTGTTCAGTACGTTCACAAATCACAGGAACCTACAGTAGACTGGCAGTGTGAACAACCTACTGTGTGTCCAACAGACAACTGGGCTCATTGTTGGCTGCTGACCCCTTCCCTTCTACTTGTGTCCCTTTCATCATCCCTAGGATACCCAGGGGGTACTGCTGCAAAACCGACCCATTTCCCTTCCCCTTGCTGTGATCATCAGCAATTTTCAGCTGTCATTGGTTCCCCCACCCCCTTTTTTTGCAATTGTAAATGCTGGTTTGAGAACTGGTTTGTGCTTTTTGACAGCAGCTAACAGCTCCTTCAAAATGCCTGAGCAGCACCATGAAGGGTCTGATGGTGGCTGACACAGCCTTTTCTTTAAACAATTTTTGCACAAAAGAATTGCACAAATAGGTTCATTAAAAAAACTGCACAACCATGGAGACTTGTGGTTGCCCAGCTGTGGGTAACTGAAGGCTTGGCTGGGTAGGTCCCTGCTCTGTTGGTAGAGGGCAGGCTGGCTGTTTTGGGCAATCATTCTCATGGACTACTGGCTGCATCCTAGACAATTTGGAATTGAAATGTGAAACAAATTACAGTGAAATTGGAAAGGATGGATTATGCCAAGATTCTGAGATGAAGGAGGCAGAGGTGATTATTTCAAGGCCAAATGCTTTGCTGAGCCAGGTATTTTCTAGGAATGACCAAGATTTGCAGCCACTGGGAGGGGCCTCTGAGGATGAGTAATTCTCAAATTCAGACCAAGCCCCTCCAGCTCTTGACTCCATGGTGAGCCATCTGCAGAAGCAGGAGGCCCAACTGAATGAGCAGTGTGCAGAGAGCAGGTGTGCTCGCTTCCAGAAAACCCCTTCTAAGGGAATGGGGTCCAGGCATGTTCATATGGAGAGTTCCTGGACGTAAACCTTAGATTGGGTTCAACAAACTGCTTTGTGCATGCTCAGAGATCTGTTCTGGGTCAGTTGTACTTGGGAGCAATAAAGAACGTTTTACAAGGAAAGCAGCCTGTGGCTTTTGACTGCTTGAAGGAGGAACCTCATTTTGTGACACCTGCTGCCAAGGTGCAGCCTGGATCTTGTCCAAGAGAGGCTCCAAATATTACGTCCAACTTCATTTCTCTTGAGAGCTCTTAAAGGTGAACTAGCAAGACCAACCAAAGGAGCAAGTCATGTCACTTCATGAAAAGAGATGTGATTTATGCTTCCTTCTCAGCAAGACCCTTCACCTTATTTTTCACCCTGTCAGAGCAGGGAACATTTTGCCTTTGCTCTGATGTTACAAATAACAACAACAATCAACATCATCATCATCTTTTGGACTTTGATGTTATCATGTGCTCAGTAGAGTCGATCCTTTTAAAGAAAATATCCAGCTTGCCTGGGACTATCCCAAAACAAACATGTTGGTACTTGTTTATTCATGTATTTAATTTAAATCTATTTTTAGGCTGGCTTAAGGGCTTCCTAGGGGTACAATACTGGAAGGATTAGGAGGGGAAAATCCTCTGTTCGGTATGCTTTTATAATTATGTTAGGCCTGGTTGGACCCTGGGAATGTGATCTCCGCACAAGATACATTGGGAGAGAAAACCAGAAGGCTATCATGTAGTGAAGTAATTTTAGACTCTGACCTTAATTATCTTATCCCTTCCCTGCCATTCTGTGCTTACGGTACCTTCTCTCCACTTCACAATTGGTTCTACATTTCTGATAGCTAGAGCAAAAACAAGCACAAAAAATCCACCCTGTTTGCCAGCCCTGATAAAAAGAAATACTCTGATTTGCATTTTGAACTCACTTAAATCATACCATGATCATAACTGCAGGAATCAAATGGAATTGCTTCTGCCATCCTGATCCTAAATATATTTACTTGTAAATAAGCTTCATTTTGCCATAGAAAAGACTAATATATTCATAAAGTAAAAATAGTAAAATGATTTCCTGTAAGCAGGTACATTTCCAACCAGTTGGCCTGTGAATATAAAATATTTGCTTTTAAGTAAGAGTGAAAAGCTGCTCTGGTGGGCAGCATCAAGCCCATGTGCGGGCCAGACCAGGCGCTCACCCCACATTACCTACTGTGCTGTGGATGGTCATTTGGGCACCCTGAGTTGTGGGACCCTGGCCTTTGATCTCAAAACCCAGCCTAAGTTGCGCCATTGCCAGAGGGTGTCACAAGGGCTATTGAGACAGTTTGAAAAAGGCATGTTTAAGAGCACTTAATGAAACGTTTCCATAAGACTCCCCTGGAAGCAGTGGATATTGCAAGCTTCAGAGTTTAATTTTTGGATGCCAGAATAGATCAGAGAGCAGGCAAATTTCTCTTTGCTGAAACTGACAACATTGCATTCTCAACTTGTCCAAGTTTTCCCTTACCAGATAAATCTCAGTGCACAACAGCTTGTTTTTTCACAGTATATAATTTCCCAAGTATCTCAGAATGCATAGCTAGAGGCATTTTCTTGATAAAGATAATTTAAGTAATGTATTTTATATTATATCAGAGACCATACCAATGAACTGGGAAATAAAATAAAAGATTACATGTTTTCTTTTTCACTTACTCCATTAAACATCAGAAGTAGGAGTCCGTTATCTGTTGGTGTTCGAACTTCTATATCAAAACGAGTTACCAGGCCAAACTTCCCTCTTCTCTCAATGTGTCTCAGCAAAGCATAGCCAGAGCCATCGAAGAAATAGTTCACAGCCCTGCTCTGCGTAAAGGCCAACTTATCTCTAGCAAGAAGAAGAATAGAGGCAAAGAAAAACCAGAGTGTTGTATCAGAAGGCCTAGCAGCAAAACTGAAAGGGAAAACAGTTGGTCTGCCCAGCAAGCAGCCATTTATTATCCAGTCTGCCATTCACTGTTTGTACAGATAAGGTGCCAGTTTGTGTAATATCTACTGGAAGAGAAGTTATTCTTTCTTTTCTTGCATGGTTTGTTGCATTTAGTATTCTATTAACTGAGCGAATTTAAGCAAGTACAGAAATAATGAAGGGGATGCTAATGATGCTGATGCACTGCCGTCCCTATATTGTTTACAAGGCTCCTCTCTTCTCCATTCTGCCCTAGCCTAGAAATAGGTGCTATCTGTTGAGAAGACCTTATATAAGCATGATTGTAAAGTAGGACTGATATAACAGCATTTCTGCTGACTGGGGTGTCAGACATGCTGGTTATTTATTTATTTGATTTATAAAACTGCATCCAGAAGTCCCGAGCAGGACTCTCTGGGCAGTGGTTATGAAGGGACAATAAGTGAAGAGCATTACCCATGCACAGTCATTACATAAATGGCCAATCCAGTTGATGTGAATGAGGTGTGGCAGGCAGAAAGTTTATGAGAACAATGGAGTCACCTCATTGGTTCCACTACAAGGAATTAAATGCTGAAAAATCAAGCAATGTAGTTTATTAGTGTTATTACATTTCTATATCCTGCACTGCCAAAGCTCTCTGGGCAGTTCACAACATTTATGTCACCCATCTAGATTTCAACTAGGCTCGACGCTGCTTAGCTTCCAAGATTAGGCAGGATCAGGCACTTCATGCTATACGGAAGCTGCGTCTGTGACTTTACCCATGAGCAAGAACAAGGGGAAAACAGAGGTGGGAAGAGGACCTTCTGAGCTTATGAAATATACCCATCTCAACCATCAGAATTAGTCTAAAGTATTTGTAAGGAGAATCATAATAAAGAGAAAGGTACTTTTTAAAGCATACCCTCCTTCCAGGAGAAGTATGATAAATGCAGTTCAGCCTACCTTGCACAGGGTACGGATCTGGTGACATTGTAGATATTTTTGAAATTGTACAAACTGATCACATCATCATTCAATGTAGCAAGCTCCAAGCACCCAATGAAACCAGGCAGATTCAAACTTGAAGGGAGCTGTAGGGAGAAGAAACCAAAGGGAACACAGTTGAAATCAGTGTTGTCAGAGTGAAAATCAAATTGTTAGCAAGCTAAGCCACATCTGCAAAACAGCATTTTTTAAGCTAGCTGGGTTATTCTGGTTAATATCCAATCATGCTCCTATGACTATAATAACACCTTGTATTTTTCCTTTCTGATTTCACATCTTTTGAGAAGTCTTTTAAGGATGGCCATTAATCATCTTCACATTTTCTTCTTGCTTTTTCTAATCAGAGCACATTTTTGCTGCTTCCAGATGGATCGTATCTTCTATCCTTCTTAAAATGCTTATTTTTTCGTCATAGGACTAAAGATGGGAAAATGCCATACTTTGCTTTTGTGTCTTCTTTAACCTTTTCACTATTGCTAGCTGTATTTACTTACTTCATATTCCTTTTCAAAATGCCTTCTGCAAAGTTTTGTTATTTTGTTTGCAGCTTCATGCTGTGCTAATATTTTTCCAATCCCCTCACAATCTGGCTGCTCCTTTATCAAGTGTTACCATTCCTCCTTCAACCCTGCCTTACTTAGGTTACTAAGGGTGCAGTCACACAATTCCCAGCATTTCCAAGCCAGTTCTTGCCTTCATCCAGGGAACTGGTAGAAAGACAGAGTTGGTCTAAGCAAGCCCAGAGGATTGCATTTTCTAGTCTCTATCTAATGCATTGCCAGTACTATCACATGACAACCAAAGGGATAAACTGATTACTACTTAAGAGCTTTGTGGTTTGCATTCTGGGTGAAGCTTTTCTCTTCACAACAAGTTTTGCATGGTGAATGCATGCTATTCACACTTAGAAGTACAATTTCATATCTAATTAAAATAATATCTAACTAAATTTATTGGCAAATCAAAACCAATGTGAATTAATTGTCCCAAGCATTTACAAGACAAAGCTTAAAACTACAGAATAAACACAATATTTATTTATTTATTTGGAATTTTTGTATGCCGTCCCATTCGCATAAGCCTCGGGACAGCTTCCAACATCATAAATAAATACACATAGAAATAAATACATATAAAATCTGGATGCATCCTGGCTAAATATTTTAAAACCAATAAATAATTTCAACAATTATTAAAATATCATTTAAATAAAAAGGTCTTGGCCTAGCACCAAAAAACAAATAACGACAGCACCAGGTGGACCTCTCTGGGGAGCGCATTCCATAGGTGGGGTGCCACCGCAGAGAAGGCCCTCCTCCGGGTACTCACCCTCCTAATATCTTTCCTGGAGGGTTCCCAGAGGAGGGCCTCTGCCGCTCTCAATATAAAACTGTATGTTTTAACCAGAATAAAACCAAAGTAGTAATCGAGGTAAAAGCAGCAGCAGTGCAAAAAATAACCTCTAACAGATACCAGTTTTACTAATATGGTTCCCCTTAAGAAGTCTTAGGAGAGCTAGCTACTAAAGCTCACTATTCCTTTTATTTTATTTATTTATTTATTTAGGGAACTTCTAAGCCGCCCCATTCGCCAAAGCCTTGGGGCAGCTCACAAACATTTTACAGCAGGGATGGGTAAACACACTGAGCCTAAACTCCAGAGAAGCTCTGAAAATAAATATAAGCACAACACACCTTGAAGCCATTTCTGCTGGTAATCAGTCTTTAGGGAGCAATTTGCACCTCTTAAAATAGGGGGGAAGCTGCACAAAAGTTGGGAGATAGTCAAATGATTAGTGGTTGGAGAAATGAGCTGGGGTCTTGGGAGGGGGAGCATGACCATCTGAGGAGTTCCAGAAGGCCAGACTGGGATGTATTTGAGGGCTGTATTTGATCCCCAGCTTGAGGTGTAATTCCCAGATAAAGCTACTGGTATAATAAGTTTAGAGCAGAGAAATACATAGCTTTGCCATAACTGGGACTGTTTTCAGAACAATTATTTTCCTTACCTTAAAATCGTGTGGCACTCCTCCAACATAGAAAACTGTATTTTTAGGTTCTAGATTCAGCAGAGAACCATCACCAGGCACCTCTCCTTTTTTGATGAACTTTTCTTCAGCTGTGCTACTGAGGCTTGGCACAGTCAGAAACACTTTGCCATGCTTCCCAATCCTATTGAGGATGAATGGAATGAAAAATGGGACCCATAACCCCTGAATGCTTACACAGGAAAGTACAATTTAAGAATTTCTAAAATTAATTTAAAATGAAAATTCTTCTTAAAAGTTTTATAAAAAATATTGTGTACCATTAAAATAATTGTGTATAATTCCAACCTTCTAACAGTTAGAACAAACGGCAGAGTCTAGACAATGACTGTGCTCTTTCTTTTTAAAAATTCTTTGGAAATAAGGATGTGTTTTCTCCAAAGGTGGAACACTCATTTCAGAATGGGGGGAACAATGTATCCTCCTTGGTAACATCATCCTCTTGCTTTTAAGGGTTGCTTGTTTAAACTTTTTAGCATATGTAATAATTAGGAAAAATGAAGAAAAGTTTTCCAAACTTACAATTCTGCCCTCTCCAAGGAAATCTCTACTTCTGCTGTATTTAAGCAGTGGATACTGATGATAATTACACTGCAGTGATAATTAGGCAGTGTATCCTGATGCTAATTATCAAGGCTAACCATCTTGTCAGCTTGTTAAAATGGTATGATTAACAACCTTTGATCATCACGCCACATTGTAATGTCAACAACTTAACCACATTTCCCTCCTTCGCTTCTGATTTTCTTCAACCCAATCAGTTGTGCAAGAAAGGAAGCAGATGCAGGTGATATTACCTCTCTATTTTAACAAGGCTGAAGTACGCTGGCCAAGAGCTGACTGGCTTGGAGTCCAGTGGTATCTCCACATCACCACTGCCCAAATTATAAATGTATACCAGGTTGTCATTCTTAATTGCAAGGCCCAGATAATTTTTTGTCTGCAGAAGGGATGAATAACATAAAATTGGGAAGGTTCCAAGACATGCTACAGATACAAGCTAAACAATTAATATTGAAAACATGTCTGTACAAGTAACCTTTTATATTACCAATACAAAAGAGCAAGGCAAAGGGAAGACTTGTTACCAGTTGGAAAGGAGGTGTCTGGAATGGCGGCGATTGGAGCCGAAGAGCTGTGGACACCCTATGTATTGTATATGTGTGTGCATGTGGATAAGGATAGGCATGTTGAGGAACACATTTCAGTGGGGGCAGGGGGTGGTTCTTCCCAGTTTGGGCTGTGGTCCCACCACTGCTGCCATGCACCGCCTGGTGTGCTCCTCTTGAGCCCTTGGGCTGAAAAAGGTTTCCCATCCTGAAATAAACTAAATTCATACTTTTAAGCTGAAATAAGTCTAAATGGGACTTAGGCATGTATAAGTGGGTATAAGATTGCTGCTTAAGATTCTTTTTAATCGGGTGACAGCTTTACTAATTTCTGTCCTTGAAAGCGATATGCTAGTGGTGGGCATACGTTTCAAGCAAAATCTAATCTTGTATGCTGCTGATACGACGTTGCCCCAGTCTTCAGTTGTATGATGTCAGTAAGAAATCCACACCACTATCACTGAAGCACTTACTGAAGGAATAAAGGATGAATTCGTATTCACCAGAAATTCCTCTGACTATATTCTTCCCAACGAGCAGTGCCACCTCATCTCAGAGTATTCAAGAACTATTTTCCTTGAAATTGTAATACAGTCTTTAGAGTATTTTTCACTAAAGGGTTTAAAAAAATCTTAATCTTGAAGAAGTCAGAATTACAAAACTTGAAATATGATTGCTAGCAGGTAAGTGCTAATTAAATCTGAACACTGGCAGCTAAAGGTAGTAATTTGTTCAGTATAATCAGTGTCCATGGACAGTTGATTAGAAAAGAGACTCAGTATCATGCTACAAAGGAAACAATTTGCTACTTAAGGACACTGGTCTGTATCTTCCGCTGCAGCTGGGCCTCTGCTGGTTCTGTTGCTCTGGTGGGATGGACTGCCAGCACAACAGGAACTCGTGTTTCCAAAAAGAAGCACAGTACGGAGCAACATGCATTTCCAGAATGGGGCAGGCCAGGAGTGCCCCTTCTGTGAGCTTTGTTGACCTGCCCCATTCCAGCAACATGTGCTGCATCTTGTTTCCAGTGGTTTCTTCTTTTGTGCAAGTATAGGGACATTTTGCTAACAGAGACAGAAAAATGAAATCGCAGCATGAAAGAGAAAGTGAGTATAAGTTGCTTGACTACTTCGTGTACCTATGGAAATGGAGCCCTAGTGATAGAAAGAAACCCAAACAATGTTGTTTGTAAATCCACCATTATGTCTTACACATGCTTTATCAGAAATAATGCATTTGCTTACATTTTTACTTCCGAGATACAGAATGAACTGATCTTGAGGTATGGCCTGCTGTGCACTGCCTTTGTGAAGCATCATGTACAAACTCAAAGATGTGAAAGCTTTTAAGTCTTCCATGTTTGTTTGTGGATGTACTTCAACAGCTGACTGTCCTTCAAAGGACATGGAGACTTGAACCTAAAGGTTGAAATGTGGAAAGTCAGAGGTTAGGCTTATCTTTAAAGACAGCAGTTTGCATCCAATGTTAGATTGAATTATGTTGCATTTATTTCAATGAGTCTGTTCTAAGTAGGACTACTATTGCATGCAACCCATGGATTAGAATACTCTTCAAAAATAAGTAGGAACTTTTTTTATTTGGAAAAGTATTTTGGAAACCTGGGTGCATTTTGGAAGCTTTTTGGAAAAGTAATACCAAACCCTGACAAAGGGAACATCTAAACAGTAGTATGACATGTGCAGATGAGCTGCATTTGGCTTTGTGTCCTGAGTAAAAGGAATTTAAAAAGTTGTGGTTTCCGTTTTAAATCTTGCACTGTATTTTAAATCTTTGCCCTGCCTCCAACTTCTATTTGGATATTATTATTTTTAATGTAGTTTTAAAGTTTGAAACTGAAATACTGCATTTTATCATGTTGCATTTTAAGGTTTTAATTGTTGTGATCTGTCCAGAGAGCGTTGGCTACTGGGAAGCATAGATATTTAATTAAGGAATGCATAAAAAGCTATAAAATATAACCTAGCCATTAATTTTAATGCAGGGTTGAGCAGAAGGAAGATCTTCAGAAATTTGGGAGGGCAAATCCAAAAAGTCCTTGACAGCATGGCCAAAATGGTCAGGAAAGTTGGGAACTGAAGGACAAATACCTGGTGATTTACTTTTTTAATGACTCCTGCACTATTCTATATGCAGACTGATAAAAGTATTGGAAAGGTTAATATATTATGAATTTGCTACAATGTAAAATATATCTGAGGATTTGCCTGCAGAACAGTGATAACTGGATGCTCTGAGAGATGGGGATGGAGAAAAAGGGGGTGGAGAAAAGTTTTTGTGAGTTCTTGAGGAGCAGGGACCCTTTGAATCAGTGTGGGTGCTTTTGCTGGAAGAAGAGGAAACTGACAAAGTTTACCTCCCTGCTGGCTCAGTATTCCTTCTGTGAATGGAGAGGATCCATCGATGCACACAACAGCCATTCTGGACCCTACCCAGGGTCATTTCTATCATTGATGAACATTCTATCATTGTTCATCAACTGCAACATTGTTCATCAACTTGCTTTGAATACAGAGGGATTAATCTAAGTCTCACATTGGTATGTGAAGCCGCATCAGTACAAACCCCATAATAAGTATGAAGACCTCCATGCCCAATGTATTTAATTATTCACTGATAGCCATTTAAATGCATATCACATTGAGAATGAATGTGTTATGGAGCCACATGGTGGGATATAAGTCTTTAAATAAATAAAACAAACATGGAGGACAAGCAGTGTGATGGTTTTTAATGTCCAGATTTTAATGACTTTTCAGAAGCATTGTTCGACCAGTACCTCTCCGTTAGTCCCATAAGGGTGCAACAGCATTTGGTACTAATTTCTATATTCCATTTCTTTTGACCCTCAGGGATTCCACAGCAGTGAACATTAACATAATATCAGTGCCATTTGACCATTCAGACGATGGGCTTCTCTGCATGAGGCTTTTAAGCCATCATTCTACCAAGGTCTCTGCTTGTAGAATCTTTGTGGAACTACAGGGTTCCCCCTGCTCCCTCCCCAGGGTTTTTCTGACCCTGCCTTTCTATGTGTTCTATTACACAACCACAAGATGGCAATGCGAGATAGTGGAATTGTGAAAAATACAAGAACGTTTCATTCTGGTTCATTTTGCCATTTCAGATAATTTCATAATTTCCTTGCAGAAATGCCTGCACAGGGGAGGTCCAAGAGGATAATGTTGCCATGAAAAGCTTCCACAAACTACTCTAAGTGAGGATTTATGAGTGCACAATAAATGCTCAAGGAGAAAAACCCTCACTGCTCCAGTGAAATGAGTGGCAAATGCCAGAGCCATCCAGGTAGGAAATAATACCTTAACATCAAGGTTGAATTCAGCGGGTGTTCAGGTAATTCTTTAGGAAATTTCCCTCCAGCACCTTTACCTTGTTTGCTACACTTCTTGTTTGTGCGATGAGCTCTCTGATCCTCTGGATGCTGGCTGAGACATTATTTGCTGGCTGCTTCTGTTCTACTGTCCGTAGCTTATCCAGCAATCGTGGGACGACTTCTGTGAGACTCCTCACTGTCAGTACAAAGGACACAAAAGGATGAGTGGCTGCTTGGCAATAAAGTTAGACCGAGTGATATTTTGTTGTTGTTATGAGCCAACAAGTTGCCTCCAACCTGTGGCAACCCTGTGAATCAGAGCTACCCAAAACATCTTATCCCCAACATTCCTGCAAGGCTGTGGCTTCCCTAATGGAATCAGTCCATCTTATATTTGGTCTTCCTTTTCTTCTTCTGGTTCTTTTTGCAATCTCATATAATTGCCTATGACTTTCCCTAGCTTAACAAATTCTCTTTTTTTAAACATTTAAGGCCACTAAACACATTTCTCAAAATGCAAAGCCACAATGCAAAGCAATTTTGTGCAATTTTGCACATGTGCAATTTTGCACATTGCAAAGCAATTCAGTTTTACATGAAATGAGCAAGTAAAGAGACACTGCTAATTATGTATCTCTGTCTAACTTTCCACTTTCCCACTGTAACCATTTATACATTGGATTTGCTATTCTACCCAATAGGCTCTTCCATCCTCCATCAGGTAACTCTGGATCCCATTTGTTTGGCATTTCCTATGATTGTACCTGTGTCCCTGGCTGTGATGGTGGCACGTTCATAAGCTGCCTTTTCAGGTTCAAAGGTTTTCAGATCTTGGGACCATTTGGTCAAATTCTTCATCATCGGGTCTGTCGTTTGGTTTACCACTGCAGCTGTATTTAGAGCTTGATCAGCAATGACTTTCAACTCTTCCAAACGTTTCTTGGCATTATCTGTCAAGCAAACAGAAAGTGATGTTTCATAGCTAGTATAAGGAGCTTAGATAAGAACCAGAAGAGTCAGACTGTACCAGACCAAAGACCTGTCTAGTCCAAAACCAGCATTTTGTTTGCACAGTCACCAGCTTGATGCCCACGGAAGCCCAGAAGCATGGGCAGGAATACAAAGCCACCTTCCACTCTTCCTCCCAGGCTACTGGTATTCAAGAGCATACTGCCTGTGATGCTAGAGATAATTTATAATTGTCATGACTGGTAGACATTGATTGTCTTGTCTTCCATGATATACTATAATGAGAGCAAAAGTACTTTGCGGTGAGGAACTAATGGAAGTGCTGTTAAAAAAAATCACTGTTCTTCCATAGAAATGAAAAGCTTGATCCTATACCTGGTTATTTGGAAATAAGAGTCACTGTATTCAATGGTACGTTTTCTACAAATGTACACAGAGTGAAGCCTAGAGAATGTAAATAAACCTGAAAATAACTGGTACATTGTGACTTGGGTTTTCTTCTGAAATTAACTTGCCAAATTCATAATATAACATGGGATGGTGGTAAGAATATTTCTTTATTATAATAATTTAAATCTGGCTTCTATGGATTCAAATGCATATAAAGATGGAGTATAAACCAAAGCAATAAAGGAGAGATTCAGGAAAACAGACATACAAAATTTGTCACCCATTTCCTCTGTAATGAGCAATGGAGGCTTTAATGAAGATGGACAATTAATGATCCATGATTGCATTACATTTATTTATTTATTTATTTATTTATTTATTTATTTATTTATTTATTTATGCATGCCACCTATTAGCAGAAACTCTCTTGATATTTAACAAATGTTAAAGTCAGGGTGGTTGTTTACCATTGTTTGTCTGTTATGTCGTGTGAACCTTGCCATGGTATTTCAGTGTGGTTCAAAAACAGTGCTCTGTTCTTTGTTTGCCTTGGTACCACAATCTATTGTTGGGACATGCAAAATTGGAAAACACATTTCAGCTAGTGGCCTGCCAGAGAGTTGCCTCATGCCCTAAAGATCTTCCTTGGGGAAGGAGCAGGTGATCAGCTGGTTAGTGCTGAGAAAGCAGCCTTGCTGCTCAGCTGATTCCCCTCCTGCCCCCCTCTGAGTGTGCCCCTCTGAGGGACCCCATTCTCACTCCCATTTGGTGAGTGCTGGATTGGGGAAGCCTCTCTGGCACACAGGAATAAGGAGGAGAGCCAAATGCTGCCTGCCACTCACTGCCACTTCCAAGAAAGGTGCTCAGGTGGGCTCTGGATTGGGGACACCTCTCTGGTGAGTGGGAATGAGAAAGGGGGTGAGCAGGGGAATCAGCTGAGATCACTGGCTCCAACTGGCATTGCTCAGTAATTCTTGCTGCTCTCATGTTTGTTAAAATCAAAGGGACTTAAAAATGTCCTTGAAATGGAAGATCTGTATATCTGTAAGACAAAATTGCAGGGGCAAAATTCTCCGGGAGCCCTCTGTGAAGGATATTAGGAGGGTGAGTACCTGGAGGAGGGCCTTCTCTGCGGTGGCACCCCACCTATGGAATGCACTCCCCAGAGAGGTCCGCCTGGTACCATTGTTATTTGTTTTTCGGCGCCAGGCCAAGACCTGGCGCCGAAATATTTAAACAATATTTTAATTGTTAATTGGTTGTTTTATTTTGTGGTTTTAAATTATGGCCGAGATACTCCAAATTTTAAATGTTATTCTATTCTTTGTTTATTTATTCTCTTTGTAAGCCGCCCTGAGGCTTCTGCGATGGGTGCGGCATAAAAATGTTATAAATAAATAAATAAATAAAATGGAACAGAGACATCCAAAATATTTTTCTAGAAGCAGCAGTACCATCTCTCAGATTCCATTAAATATCAAGGAACCCTGTCACAGTGTTTCAGTGGGATTTGAGATCCATGAAGTTTACAAGAGCCAATTCAGTCTTCCCACTGAAGTTGTTTGTGTCAGTTGAATGGAGCAGGGATCCCTCTCATCACTGCAGCTTCCTAAATGCCCTCACAGCCTTTCCCAGAAGATTGGGAGAGTTCCCCATTGGAGCAATGGGGAAATCCAGAGGGAAATTCAGCTGAGCAAACAGACTTGTACACACACGACACTGGATTTTGCCCCAGTGGTGGCACCTGCTGGTACCTGCTTTCCCTTAAATATTTCCCCAGCATGTGATTATCTGAGAGATGCATCAAAAATTGGAAAAATTGGAAACAAACAAGTAAGCAAACTTACTTAAGCAAGCACAATCCCAATCATGTCCTACTATGGCTCAATGTTTAGGATTATACCTAGCAAGAGCTTTTTCTACCTGCAGCTAACTTCTAACACAGCACTGTCCTTGCTTGTTATTAAAAATGCAAAACCCATACCTTTCTTGAATCTCTTAGCAGCTAGACTAACATTTACAAGGCACAGGAAAGTAGCAACAAAGCCTTTTGAAACAGAATGGCTTGGTAAAGTCTGGATTTTATTTTAAATCTCCAGTATGTGCACTTTATGATCAGTTATGCAGACTATGGCAAAATCTTTATTTGGCTTGATCTGCAACTCTGCTCAGTATGCTATGAACTTGCTGTGACTTTTTTCTTAACATGATGTGAAATCTAATATTAAGATTGTTTTGTCTTCTTGTATTTGTGTTACTCTGTTGATAAACTTATACGGTTGCTATCTTAGTAGTGTTCCTCTAATAATGGAAGGCATCCATCAATGGAACAACTAGAAGTATGATTCTTAACATTTCCTCCCTCCTCTATGAAGCCCCCACCCCAAAGGTTTTCCTAAGGATTGCAGAACCTTTTATATTAGATTTGATGGGAACACAAAAGTCTTCATGGTACAGGTCCACAAAATTGTCCACCTCCCCATCTGTCAGGTAGATGACTTCCATCAGCAAATGACCATAGGTGTATAGAGAAAAGGAACACAAAATACTCTGGCCAAGTTCTTGGTTTTGAAATATCTTGCCCTTGCTCCCTGCATGATACTTACAGAAAATTATATCCCATAATGAATACTTAGGTATAAGAAGCAATAGTGTATGAACAGATAATAATATGCCACAAAGATGTACTGGTGTCTCTTTGTAGTATTTATTGTAGTATGTAGACTCTAAAGGTATGCACGGTAATGGGTGACACACTGAATACCATGAATATAGTAGCTTGCTGTCTGAGACAGAAGGTCTGCTACACCCTATATGATTCAATCCTGTTCTAATAACTTACTGTGAAATATTGTATGTAAAGCTCTATCAAAATAGTGGCGAAGGAGCTCAGATGCCTCCTAAATCATTGATAAAATATTTATTATAGTTTATATTACACAAATAATTTATGTAGCATGCAGGGTTTACTACATTCAAATGTACATATTATTTTAAACTTCTCTTTATTGGGAAGCTACAGCAGACACAACAAATGTAAGGCCAGGTATGCATGCTAACTTTAAAAGAAGATCTGAATTGGATCCTACCTGACAGAATCACTAAGCAGATCACTACTATAAATTTCTTGTTCAATCAGTTTCACAAGATTACATTTTTCAGTATTTATCTCCTGACCTTGCTCTGGCATCTGTATTTGAGTAACGACTTTCATCAAATGGGCTTTAAAATTATTCTTCCTGGCAAGAGTCTCATTAGCATGTTGACCTGTGTTGGCAACTGCTAAATCATCTGTAAAGGAGAAGAAATAAAATGTAAGAAAACATTTCTCTACCATGTGCAACTGAATGAAGGTTACATTTAGTCTTACATCAAAAAGAAGCTTCACTACATGTTTAACTGTCATTAGTAGTTACTAAACTATTTAACTGAGATGTATTTAATGGCACATACTCTAACCGAATTTCAGGTGGTATAGTGTTCTTAAACTGCTACCTGACTAAAGCTCATCAGGTCTTGCCAAGGGAATCTGGAATCTTTTCTCAAAAGGAATTTCGAAGCTGGTCTCTACTTGGGATAGGTGACAATAGATTTACATAACTAATGTAAAATACTGTAAATATAGTCAATTGTTGCTTCTGCGATTGACTAATCTTCATTGGTTTATATTGCAGTACAAGTAGCACCAACATTTTATAAATCTTATATATGGACTGGTAATAAGTAGGCATTTGTTTACAGGATTGGTTCCAGAGAACAGTGAGGTACCAAATGGATAAAGTAATATGTGTTCATTAGACCAGCTTCTATCACATTTATATTCAAGATTTAGAACTGCAAAACTCTCAGTAGGAGATAATGATTAAATCTTTCATGTCAACATTTTTCTTCTTCATGATCTTCCCTGCCCGTATACAGAGCTTTTGTAGTTCTAAAGAAGCATCTGAATCAAGAGAAAGATTATATTTACTAGCAGGTGCCGTCTGTTGCTGTTCTTTGGCTTGCTGGAGAAGCTTTTGGCTTTCCTCTTTATGGTAAACGATCTGAGTGCCAATTCCAACAACAGCCTACAAATTCATTTTGGAAAAAGAATAAGACTTTATGAAAAGAGGCCCCTTCAGGTGCTTCCAGACCCGGGTTTTGTGGTGCAGTTCCTACTTACACCTCATTCTTGGAATCTTAATGCAAGTCCAAAAGAGCATGAAGCTCCTCCCCCCGCCCCCTCCAAAGAGGAAAGACTCAAGGTGATTCAACCTTCCCATCCCCCCTGCATCTTCTGTCTTTTTTGTTTTTACAACAAATTAGTTGAGACAGCCACCCTCCCCAAAACAGCAGAATAATCGCCCGATGTTAGAAGCTCCGTTAATTAAATCTTGTATGTATAAGAAAATTGCCCTGATCCAGGAGGACTTCTTGTTTGCAAGCCTTCCAACAGTCACACACAGCTTCCATATTCATAACGAGGGGGCTGCCTGCATATGCTCAGAATCATACAAATGACCACAATTCAATGGCAAAATCCTGCTGAAGAAAGGTGGGAAGGCAAGGAGATTTTCACCTATTGCCCCTTCCCTTTACAGGCCCCAGAATCTCCCACTCCCATGCTTCTTTTCTGGGGGACACTCCAGAGGTGCTTTCTGATCCTCCAGTGCTGATTTCTGGGTACAGAAGGCAGCACCCTTTTCTAGCAGGGCATCCCTTGAGTGGTTTTCTTTTAATGGATAGTCTGCATCTAAGAGACTACGCACAAAATATGCAACCACAGCAGATAAAGATTAGAAAATGACAGCAAAATCAGTTTTTCCAGAGAATGCATCGTCCCTCTTTCTGCAAACTGCAGAGTCACTTTAGACCATATCAGAATTCACATTTATTTGTGCTGTGTGCTTTGCATATAGCCTGAGAATAGAGGGAGCTTTCTCTGCTGTCAGACATCAGAATGAGCAGCAAGATAACTGCTGCTATGCATGGGAACATCTTGAGCATCATTTAGCAAAGAGGTGGGCAACTGGTGATTTTCCAGAGGTTGTTGCATTGCAACCCCCTTCTCTCTCATCATTGGCCTTGCTGACTGCAGCTCATCAGATTTGCAGTCCAACAACATCTGAGGACCAGAAGTTGCCCAACTGCCACCTAGCAGGAATTTTATGGTAAATGATCTGAGCTCCATTGGGCACATAAGAGGAGACCTTCTGGATCAGAGCATAGGGTTTTCCATAGTGCTTAAGCAAATTCTGCAAGCAAAATATGGGAAGCATAAGCCCTGTTGCTTTTGCTGTAATGAATGGATGCTGGACCACAGGTGCTCTCCTTGCAGCTGCAAATGGATTAACAATACCACACCTTATGTAATGAGAAGGAAGGATTCCCTGGAGAAGACCCTAATGTTGGAAACAATTGATGGCAAAAGAAGAAGGGAACGGCAGAGGATGAGGTGGCTAGATGGAGTCATTGAAGCAGTCCGTGTGAGCTTATTCAGGAGTCCTCAAACTTTTTCACCAGGGGGTCAGTTCAAACCTGCTGGTGCTGGGCGTGGGCCAGAAAAGTGGTGCCAGAGGTGTGTGCAGACCGGTGCGAGGCCGGTGTGTGTGGGCATGCACACTGAGGTGAGGCTGGTGAGGTGAGGTGTGGGTGGGGGCGGGCACAGGCCGCGAGGCGGGCGCACGAGGCAGCGGCTTGTTCGCTTGGAGATTGTTTTCTCCGAGCGAGCAAACCTCTGCCTCCCTGCATGCGGAGTGAGGTGGGAGATGGCAGGTCCAAATGGGCATGGCGGGCCGGATAAATGGGCATGGTGGGCCAGATCCGGACCCCAGGCCGTAGTTTGAGGACCCATGGCTTAGGTGGACTCTGGAGGATGGTGGAGGACAGGAGAACATGGAGGAATGCTGTCCATGGGGTCACAATGGGTTGGACATGACTTTGCTGAACAACAACAACCTTATGTAACATTAGAAGACACGAGATAACTAATCTGGAATCTGACTGAGAGTCTTCTGCCACTCATGGATGAAAATGTATAGAACTTCTTTGCACAGTGGAAATTTCAGAAGGTGCAAATTTGGCCTCACCCTCAGAGCACAAGGACCATGAAACATTGATCAGGGGACCAGGTGCTGTTACTTACATCACTGACTCGCTCTGTAGTATTTAATGCCAAGGCAGCCATCTGACTGGCTTCGTGGATGTAATTAAGGATATTTTCATGGACATTGGAGGCATTTATTGCTTTTTGAACTAATCCATTTGTATCAACACCATGCAACGACCTGTGCCAGAGAGTGGAGGAGACAGAATGAGATTTATTTATTTATTATTTGCTTTTGTATACCACCCTAATATGGTATACCACCCTAATATTGTCCAGAGGGTTTTAAGGAGTTTTAAGCAGAGAGGCTATGTACCATTTTGAAGGATGACAAATTTGATAGAGAAAATGTGATTGAGAGAGTTAACTCCATTTGCCTGTAGTGCCTTACTGACCAAATCATCCTTCTCCAATTGCTTTGAAGTAAATTAAAAGATGGTCTCATCTGATCATGGAATGTTGAGAGTTGGTACAGTTCACTTTAGTCTTTAATCCACTAGGTGGCCTTAGGTAAAAAAATCCTTTAGCTGCAAGGTTGCTCTTATGGCTCTGTTTGCACAACATGGGAAGCTGCAGCAGTCTGGCTTATAGGCCTTCCTATCCACAAAGCATCTGACAGGCTTTCTAGTGCCTCCTGCACTGTGCCTTCCTTTCTCCCCACTTGGTCCTGTGACAGGCACCCCATGGGGCATTGCAGATGCTCCGAGGTTTCCTCCCTCCCCACTGCTGCTTGTCAGGGACTGCTGATGGTGCTCCCTCTAACTTGTGAGCAGACTTTTCAGGATGAGGACTGAACGCCACTGAGATCAGCATGAACGCAGCCCTGGCTCGCTCCTCCAATCTGCACTGATCCACTTGGCTGACTCAGAATCAGCTGACCTGATTTCTGCCCCATTCTGGGGCTGCCAGGCAAAGGGCTGCTGGTTGTGGCATGGTGGGGCTGGGCGGTCGTGATGGGCCCAGCTGACTTGTGGCTGCAGCTGGCTTCACTGCCACTGCCCAAGCCGTGCTGACATAGAGTGGGGGAGGCAGAGCCACCCCCAAGTGGCACCTGGGCACTTTGGAGGCAGCTGTCCATGCTACTTGCCTGGCAGCCACTCTACTAGAACAGCATGGATTTCTTGCTGCACCCACCATGCTGCTCCTTAGCAGCCTCTGGGCTTGGGATGTCATCCAACCTCACAGCAAGCCCAGGTGTGGCTATGAAACCCTACAACAAGTCATGGCTGTTGGGGAAGATTATAAGCCCAGCTGCTGCATGTATAAGCCACCCTGAATAATCCATGGTGCATTCACAGGATCCAACAAATCCCTTGATTTATAAGCCCAGCAGGGTTGTTGTCCAGCCTATGAATGCCGTCATAATTTCCCACCACATAACTTCCCACCAACCAAAAGAAAATATTGACCTACCTTACGGGGTTGTTCTGTGGCAGTACAACTGAGATAATATCTGTACATTTTCAAGTGCTATTTAAATGCAAAGTTTTATTTTTGTTATTATAGTATCTTCTTGTTTTCCAATCAGCCTATTCCTTTATTAACCTTGGGTAGTATCCAACCAGTGGGAAGCCCTCTTGAAGTCCCATTGTTTCCAAGGGAATGTTAGCCACATACTTGACTCCGTTTCACTGAAATGAATGGAACTTAGATGTGCTTCACATTGGCTGAATGTGCCCATGGGCTGTGACTGGACAGAGTGTGATAAAATGTACCTTTTTAGGTCATCTGCAAGAATGCGCAGCTCCTGTGCATAGTCTGTGGCCTTCTGCACTATAACATCATCAAACCTTGAGAGGTTGGCCAATTTGTCCTGAAGGTGTATTTTTGCTCCATCTATTTCTGCATAAAACCCGGATGCATTCTGACCAAACACAAAGAGTACAGGAAGAATAACAATGATTTTTTAAGAGCAGCATTTCTACAAATGCAGTATTATTTCAAAATTAGGTAGATAAAGAAAATGATGAAAAGTATTTGGGATTCTTAGGACTAATTCTCACCTAGGTGATTAATTTATGCCTGGATTGAATCATTTCAGGGTTTAGGTGGAGGTTTCTTTGATTATACAACCCCACCGGCTGCACACAGAAAATGGGCATAAAAGAAATACAGCTGAATTAGAACCTGCTTCCTGACATCCTTGTTTCAGGCAAAGTTTTGCTTGTTCACTGTTCAGTTGGTTTGAATGGAGGAATATTCAATCTGGAATAGTACATCCCAGACAAAGGTTTATTCCTCATTAAGAACTAGGTCTTAGTTGGATCAGATTATCAGTCAACACCTACATTCTCTGGGGGCTAAGGTGTTATAAATAAAGTTTTAATATAGTAAATCTGATTTAGCAATGCTTAATTTTCATGTTTTAAGTTTTATGCTCCACCTGAAGTTCTTCTAGTATTTGTAGGCCCTGTAAACTTCAATAAATTTTGTACAAAAGAAGATTGTACAAAAGAGCAAGATTTGTTTGTTTCAAAGGTTGGTGTCTTCCCATAATGCATCACTCAGTCATTGAGAAACTATAAATGTGATGCTCTTTGTCTCCTAAGTGTCCTCTCGGCCTAGAAACTGGCAACTGTTAACCATGCTTAAAGTTGCTGCCGATGCAACACCTCTGTTTAATGAACACTCACCTGTATTGCCTCATTCATTTCATAGTATATTTGATATGGGACACTTAAAATATCTCTGGCAATCAGCAGAGTACTGTTAACCTTGTTAATCTGTTCCTCCAATATTTCATGCTGGTTCTGTGAGAGAAAAAAATCAAATCAGTTCTTAAAAATGTTCTCATTCTCATTCTAAACATTGACCTCGTTTATCAGATGACACAAGAGTGGATTTGCCACTTTGGCCTGCAAAAACGGGGAGGGAAATTGAAGAATGGGACATCCTATTTTCCTCACATCATCCCAGATTCAGATAGCAGACTACATCATTTGGATATCTCCTTGTTTTGAAGCAAATCTGTACTAAATGAAACCCCATCTGCAGTTTACACATGGAATCCTACAGCATCTGGGGCCACATGTTGCCCACCCCTGACTGACACAGAGGAACTGAGAGGCAAAACAACATTCCACAGTAGCAGCCTATATTGCAAGAAAAAGCTGCCAAGTATTACATTCCATTTTTAAAAGCATCTAGTCTTTCCATTGTTCTTACTGGGGTGGAAATATTCCTTGTGGATTGCATACACACTGCATTAATCAAGCTTCTCTGGGCAGATTGCACTAAAAACGTAAAAAACAAAATACAAAATATACTCCATGGTACCTCCTGCTCTTGGAGTTTGGCAGTGTTTTCCTTATTTATCACTTCTGCTTTTCTGATGTAATCAGCAGCTTGGTCCAGGGCCTCTAGCAAATCCGCGACCTTGGCATTGTGCTCTCCAAGTTGGTCCAATATGTCAGGAATTAGGGATCTGGTTTCATTGTGTGTCTGCTGCCACTTTTCAGCTTTCTCTAGCACTAAGAGAAGAGGTTGCTGATTAGGCTTTGTAAGCCACAGAGTCTCTGTGACTCTCTTCAGTCCCTGCAGCAAGCTCTTTAAGCCCGGATATGTGTGACTCTGGGTGCAATCCTATCCATTTTTGAAAATGCTAGGAGTAATAGGACCTTTTTCTGTCTAAACATGCATAAGATCACACCCTTAGAAGGTTACAGCAGTTGAGGCCAATGTGATGCTGATTCAGGGGATAACTTTCTGAAGGAACTTTTCATATTATAAGGAAGACATATCTTTGCCCGCTATCATCTTGGAGAATTAGAGCAGTGTCCACTTTGTCCCTCCATTCATAGAAGGAGCTACAGTCATGAAGGGGGCCCTTTGGTGAGCCGAAGGCCTCCTTCCAAGTGTTCAGCTCTCCTTCTGCAAAACTCTCCCTGTTTGTGGAATGACAAGATTAGACATCACCCAATGTTTATCTAGTCTGGACTCTCCTTTTTCAAAAATAATACCACCACATTAATATAGAATATTTCCGTTTTAAGGTCCTTCCACATCATGGAAGAGGCAAACCTTGTTTTGTCTACTGAGATGCCCCCAACAAGGATCAATGCTAAAGGCAGGCTCTGATGAATGTGCCACTATAGTACCTACATCTGCAAGTGTGTTTGTTGCTTTCACATTTCCCTTTTTAACTTACAATGTTCAACAGCCTAGGTTTACATCTAAAACTGTAATGTGCAGGCTGTATGTGCATGGGCTGTGCAGTTCATTGAAATAAACATGACCCAGCTCACTTATCTGAATCACTTGAGAAATTTCCTAACTGCTTCCTAAACCATGTCCAGATGATAACTTTGAGAAGTCAGCTTTGAGTCTGGGCAGTCTATGTGCTAAATGCATTCAACTTTAAGGATATGATAAGCACCAATAAATCATTGCTCATGGACCCCCATCCTCAAGCTCTAGGTATCAGCCTCATCACTTGTTCCTACTTCCCAAATCATTGCAAACATAAATGCAATTATGGGCCGAGAGGGAAAAGCAACAGTGATGTCTCTTTATTGGACTGTAGTTTGCTGGAGAACGATATGGCAGGCAAAAACCTCTACCTTCTTCTGTTCCTAAAATGCCCATTGTGAACTGCTTACAGGAAGGAATAGGAAAACTTAGAGATGGTAGTTCAGTCTGTGAAGGTTGTCTTTGATTCTTGCACAATGACAGTCACACAGGACTTTCCATGGCAACACAAGTGCTAGCTGGGGAAGAAAAAGCAAAATAATTGCATTTTCCCAACACTCAATATTTCAATTGGCATGCAGGGAAAATGTGATTTACTTGCAGAAGAAGTACTACCTTGAAGAAAGGCATATGTTTTGTCCACTAGAACTCAGTGTTGCCTGCTTTTTAACACACCTCCATTTTATGTAGTGATACTTTGATGCTTAAGTATACATATGGAATATTTAAGCTAAGGAAATAATGCAGTGGTTAATTTTTGAGTCAATGGGTCCTATCATGGATGGCCTTTATAAACTTCTCTAAGCATGCATTTTTCAACACACAACTGCATGTCCACGCCTTGCTTTTCCATGTCAGACTGTGTCTTTGCAGCTGAAGAACAACTCACACTCCTTTGCCTCATCAGACTCTGTGCCAGCAAGCTGCATCTGAATGGTGAATGGCTTGCGTTGTCTGATGTCCTTCAGCATCTCTTCTGCTGCTTTGAGCTTCTGAGTAATATCCTCGGGCTTCAGGTCATGCTCAATACTATAATATTCCACTTTGCTACTGATTTCTGTTTGACAGACAAACCACAAGCAGATGGAACAATGCAGAATTGATGGCAAAACTGTATACTTCAAGAAATGGATAGTGTGCATCTGAGCTTCACTTTCCTTCCTCTCTCCAAGTATGCAATTCTCTAAACTGGAGTTTTGAACCTTCCCACCCGACCATCCCCCCACTAAATGTCCTCCTGATGTTGGGGTTGAAATTTAACTGCCTCCAGGAAAAAACCCCCAAACTCCACTGCTGCCAGTGGAGTTTTTTCTTTCCTTCAAGAGCAGGAGAAAAATTTCAAGAGCAGGAAAGTGGTTTGTGGGAAAACATCTAAACCTCCACAATCCGTATGCAGTAAGTTCTGATCTGGATGATTGCCCTATGTGCTTACTTGGAAATAACCAAAGACAGTTAGGCACATGTGCATATTACCTATTTAAAGTAGCATCAGGGCTGGTTGACAAATACTGCAGGTGCTTCCAAAAGAGATTCTAATTCTGCTGTTGCCCTGCCTCATTTAGAGAGAGCCCTCTGACTGGTAGCACTAGTTCTGTGTCTGGAAGAACCTTTGTTGATAAGAAAAATGGAATACTTGGTGGTAAAACATGGGAAGGCTGCAAATTGAAGACAATGTCTAGAGGGCCACTAAATAAATAAGGCAGTGGGATTGCTTGCTAAAAGCCTTTTCTGGGAGCACCCAGAATATTTTTTCTTGTACACCTGGCTTCTTGCAACCAGCCCTTCAAGCTCCTGGCTGTGTTTCTGCTGGGCACCCAGATCGTCAGCTGGTACAACAATGTAGCTCTTTCCTTTGCCTGCATTGCAGAAGCAGCCTTGCTACCCCACAGTTGCTATACGTTCAATCATTTGATGGCAGCACTTTTCTGAGAAACAGGAGCAGGTATTCATGGTATGAATCTCATTTTGAATCCCATATTAGATGAGGCACCAAGTAGCAATAAACAAGTGATAATGGTGTCACTGCGCTTGATGTCAGGAGGAATATTTTCCAGCTTTTTCTTGTGATCAGCAAGCTAGCATGAATAAATTTCAGTGTTATTAGTCCTGGAGTAGCAAGAAGATTAGTCATTTGACAGTCAGTAAGTTTGATTACAAACCGGATGACCTCTTCTCACCTTTTTTACTATTCCACCCTCCCCCATGCAATTTAGTTGTTAATTATGGTCAAATGATTCTATTCATTCAAAACATTTGGAATTGGTTCAGTGCTGATGGCCAGGACTGGCTTACTTGGCTTGTTCACAATACATCATTTAAACAGCAATCTTATGTAGCTTGAAGGGCCTGATCACGCCCCGTCTTGGAAGCTAAGCAGGGTCAGGCCTGGTTGGAATCTGGATGGGGGACTTCAATGTTGTGAACCACCCAGAGAGTTTTGGCTATGGGTGGTAATAATAAATAATAATAATATACATTTCTGCCTAGAAATAAGCCCCATTGCTTTCAATGGGACTTAGATGAAGCAATATAGGACTGCATCCTTAAAAAGGGTGCAACTCTCTCCCTAGTAGAGGAGCAATGGCAACTGCACCACAATGAAGTGGTATGCTGCAGATGTTAAGGCAGGGGTGGGCAAGCTGTGGCTCTCCAAGTGTTTTGGCTTGCATGTCTCATGCTGCCTCACCAAGGCTTCAGCACTGGAAGCCTTCCTCACACCCTGTTACAGCTAACCAGAGCTTTGCTTCCATTGCTCTTGTACCAGAGACGAATGCACACAGGAAATGTCATCCCATGCTCCTCCATGCAATTTGAAAGGGCAGTCATGAGTCCAAAATGTAGTCTCAGGTGTTCTCAGAATAGAAATATCCCTGGGCAGAACAAGAGAGTTTGATTACTTCTCTAGCTCTCCATTATAGATGGAAGAAGGAGTAACACAACTGTGTGTGTGTGTGCACGTGTGCATGTGTGAGTGAAGGGGAGAGTTTACTTGCTTTTCCCAGGACTCTCCTAGCTATTTACTATGGTGATAAACTGGGAGCCTGGGAAACTGTCACGTGAATTAGTCTCAAAGACTCAATCGGCACTGTTCTTTTGATATGTCCATCAAAAAAAAATAATATTTTACTGGCAGGTTAGTTGGAAAAAATGCAGGTTTTAAGCCCAAAGCTCTATCTAGACTGAAGACTATTCACAGTTGATCCCCAGTTCAATATTTATGGAGACTTCAGTTATTAAAACAGGAATAATTTCTTATGTATTTGTGTAAAATCTGGATTTAAGTTAGGGCATTTTCAGTACTATATTTTAAGTTTGGATAGCTGGTAACAGTACTATGATGACTTTGCTCCATTGGCAGTTTCACTGTCCTATTCCTGCCATTCAGATGAACCAGGAATAATACATAAACTTACCTTGGATATTATCCATCATATTTTCAAGTGCCTCTACAAGAATAGTAGCACGGTCAGTGGTCTCCATGGTTTCCTTCTGTACCAGTAGGCCTCTGCTTGATTCTTGATTTTTCTATGAATAAACCATGTGAGTATAATATTAGATTTTATTTTTACATCTGCAGGCATGTGTGGGTCTGTCTAGTATAAACAGAATTTTGCTTCTGGCAGATGAGCATAGGAAGTTCCATGGAGCATATAAATGATATCTGACAATCTTAGAGGAAAAAATGTGGTTGACATTTGCAGTGTAGGCTATGGAGATTTGCCCCACATTTCAATGCAAACTTTCACAGATCTGATCTGATTTCCATCTGTTGAAGTTCAAATAGATCCATGTCTATGACTGCAAGCCTGCACACACGGACCTGGGAGTGAGCTCCTTTGCATATAGCAGGTTTTCTATCTGAGTAAATACAGTATCTTGTTTACTCAGAACTGTGCCACACAGGATATGTATTGGCAGAACTCTGCCTTGTCGCAGACTGTACATTCATACATGAAGATGTTACGACACTGCATATTTCTTTAGTTTGATGCTGCTGGGAGCAACCATTGAAAAGGAAAGGAGGCACAGCCATAAAATCAATGCTGAATTAGCAATGCTGAATTAGAGAGAACCTGTTTGCAGCAGTGGTACTGTCAGGGCAGGACTTATGGGGGCGGGGACAGAACTCCAAGTCCCATACAGCTGAATGACTGGAAAGATCTCCACATTCAGCAGGGCTGCCTTGCCATGTCTGAAGTAATTCAAGTGGCACACATTGCCAACTAAAGAGCCCTCCCCTGCTGTAAGATATTCACTCCAAAGTCTGCAATGATCTAATTCCACTAATCTGGTGCCCTCCTGATGTTTTGGCCTGAAGCTCCTGGCATTCTTGCCTTTGGCAGTACTGGCTGATGCCAGCTGAAGTCCAAAACATCTGGAAGCACCAGTTTGGCTGCATTCCTGGTTTCTAGTAATGTGTATGTCGTTCCACCTTCAGTGATATCACACCCAATGTGATTGATAGATTACATTGTGATGGATAGAGTAAAATAATCTAATTTAGTCTTTGTTGTTGTTAGTCGCGAAGTCATGTCCGAACCATCGCAACCCCATGGACAACATTCCTCCAGGCCTTCCTGTCCTCCACCATCCGCCGGAGTCCATATAAGCTCACGCTGACTGCTTCAGTGACTCCATCTAGCCACCTCATCCTCTGCCGTCCCCTTCTTCTTTTGCCATCTATTGTTCCCAACATTAGGCTCTTCTCCAGTGAGTCCTTCCTTCTCATTAGGTGGCCAAAGTATTTGAGTTTCATCTTCAGTATCTGGCCTTCTAAAGAGCAGTCAGGGTTGATCTCCTCTAGGACTGACTGGTTTGATCGTCTTGCAGTCCAAGGGACTTGCAGAAGTCTCCTCCAGCACCACAATTCAAAGGCCTCAATTCTTTGGCGCTCAGCCTTCCTTATGGTCCAACATTCACAGCCATACATTGAAACTGGAAAAACCATAGTCTTGACTTTTGTTGGCAGGGTGATGCCTCTGCTTTTTAGTGTGCTGTCTAGATTTGCCATAGCTTTCCTCCCCAGGAGCAAGCGTCTTTAAATTTCTTGGCTGCAGTTCCTGTCTGTGGTGATCTTGGAGCCCAGGAAAATAAAATCTGTCACTACCTCCATTTCTTCCCCATCTATTTGCCAGGAAGTGATAGGACTGGATGCCATGATCTTAGTTTTCTTAATGTTGAGTTTCAAGCCAACTTTTACACTCTCCTCCTTCACCTGCATCAAGAGGCTCTTTAGTTCACTTTCTGCCACTGGAGAAGGAAATGGCAACCCACTGCAGTATCTTTGCCATGAAAACCCCATGGACAGTACCAAAAGGCAAAAAGATATGACGCCGGAAGATAAGCCCCTCAGGTCGGAAGGTATCCAATATGCTATTGGGGAAGAGCCGCTGCTGCCGCCGCCAGACCTGAGGTGCACCGCTGAGCCGGGGGCCAGCAGACACTGCTTCCGCGGCCACCGCTGGGCCACCCCGGGCACGGAGGACGCCAGGACCATGCCAGGGCCACACCAGGGCCGCCGTCGATGGCACGGAGGAGGGCGCCGCCATCTTGCCACTGGGCGGGTTTCCACGCCCCTCCCTGCTCCCCCCCACCGGCGTCGGTGAGAGCAATGCCGGATTGGGGCGGGGCGCGCAGGCGGGCACCGGCTTAACCCGCCGGATGTGGCCTGGGGCTGGGCGGGCTTTGGGCTCCCTCCCCTCCCGGAACACCTGCCACGCTCCACACCCTGGATCACCTGCTGCGCCGCGCCACGCTGTCATCGTGGCCGCCGCCACTGGACCTGAGGCGCACTGCTGAGCCGGGGGCCAGCAGACACCGCTCCTGCGGCCACCGCTGGGCCACCCCGGGCACGGAGGACACCAGGGCCATGCCAGGGCCACGCCAAGACCGCCGTCGATGGCACGGAGGAGGGCGCCGCCATCTTGCTGCCGGGTGGGTTTCTGCTCCCCTCCCTGCTTCCCCCCACCAGCGTCGGTGAGAGCAATGCCGGATTGGGGTGGGGTGCGTGGGCGGGTGCCGGCTTAACCCACCGGACGCGGCCTGGGGCCGGCGACCTCTGGCCGGCGGCCGAAGGGCGATGGCCAAAGGGCGGTTGTCGCCGTTTGTGGCCGTTCGTGGCTGTGTGGGGCTGGGCTGGTGGGGGACTAGGTCGGTGGGGGGAATTTTAATTTTGTATTGGGGGGGGGGAATGGGGAGTTTTTGATTGTTTTGAAGTTTTATTGTATTTTAATTTGTTTTTATGGAGTCGTCCCTGGCCATGTCGATGCTTGAGTTTCCTGGGGAGCGCGTGGGCGCCGCCATTGGGGTGGTCATGGGCAATGGATGTTACAGCGGTGGGGGTTTAACGTGTCCGTGTAGAAGAAGGAGGGACAGATGGCTAACACCTGTCCCTCCTGGTTCTGCCCCCAGCCAGAGGGTTCCAGGTAGTCTTGTCAACCGCCCCTCGGGCCTGACGGTGCTGCTGCTCAATGCCAGGTCAGTCCACAATAAATCTTCCCTCATCCATGACTTGATTGTGGATGAGGGGGCCGACCTGGCTTGCATAACGGAGACCTGGGTGGGAGGGGGGGGGATGTCGCCCTCTCTCAAATGTGCCCGCCCAGGTATCTGGTTCAGCACCGTTCATGCCTGGAGGGGAGGGGGGTCGCTTTGGTTTACCGAGCCTCCATCTCCCTCACAGGACTTCCAGTCCCTTCGAGGCCAGGGCTGGAGTGCCTCTACTTGGTGTTGGGCAACCGAGACAGATTGGGGATTCTGTTGGTGTACCATGCACCCTTCTGCCCAACAGTCTCCCTGCCTGAGCTGATGGAGATCGTCTCGGACCTGGTGTTGAGGACCCCCAGGATGTTGGTCCTGGGGGACTTCAATCTCCATGCCGAGACTGGTCTGACCAGGGCGGCTCAGGACTTCATGGCCTCCATGATGGCCATGGGGCTGTCTCAACATGTCACAGGCCCGACCCATGAATGTGGTCACACTCTGGACTTGGTTTTCTTGATGGGGCAGGAAGAGGGTGGTCTGAGGGTGAGGAATTTATGTCCGACACCCGTGTCATGGTCAGATCACTTCCTGGTGAGGTTTGTGCTTGAGAGCAGCCTCTCCCTCTGTAAGGGTGCAGATCTGATTGTGTGGGTCCGCCCCCGGAGCTGGATGGATCCAGATGGATTCCTGAAGGCCCTGGGGGAGTTTCTGGCTGAAAAGACTGGTGCTCCTGTCGAGGCTCTGGTCGAACTGTGGAATGGGGAGATGACCAGGGCTGTTGACACGATCGCTCCTAAGCGTCCTCTCCCGCCGGGCAGAGCCCACTCTTCCCCTTGGTATACACCTGAATTGCGGGCGATGAAGCAGGCTGGGAGACGGCTAGAGCGTAGGTGGAGGAGATCACGGGATGAATCTGACTGAACACACTTAAGAGCCCATTACTGGGCCTATGCTGTGGCGGTGAGGGTGGCGAAAAAGAAATTCTTTTCCGTTTCCATTGCCTCCTCAAAATGCCGTCCGGCAGAGCTTTTTTGAGTGGTACAAGGCCTGGTTCACCCTGGCCATAAGAAAGATATGGTTCCACCCTCGAAGGCCCACTGTGACGACTTTGCCAAGCATTTCAGGGAGAAAATAGCTCAGATTCGTCACGAGCTAAACTCTACTAGTGATTCAGAGGTGTCTGGGGAGATACCAATGCCACCGTCTGGTCCAAAATTAATGGATGAATTTCAGTTATTGTGGCCTGATGATGTGGACAAGGTGCTTGGACGAGTACGTCCCACCACTTGCCTATTGGACGTCTACATGAAACCGCTGGGAGAGATCATCAGGAGGTGCGGGCTACGGAATCATCAGTACGCTGATGATACCCAGCTCTACCTCTCCTTTTCCACCAATCCAGGTGAGGCAGTGGCTGTGCTGAACCGGTGCCTGGCCGAGGTAATGAGCTGGATGAGGACCAATAAACTGAAGCTCAATCCAGACAAGACGGAGGTCCTGTTGGTTGGCAGATTGGGCTTCGGTGAGGGTGAATTGAACCTAGTCCTGAATGGGGTTGCACTCCCTCTTAGGGACGAGGTCCGCAGCTTGGGAGTGCTCCTCGACCCAGAGCTTTCACTGGAAGCTCAGGTGACAGCGGTGGCGAGGAGCGCTTTCTTTCAGCTTCGGCTGATCCATCAGCTGCGCCCCTACCTGGAGTACGACTGCCTGGTGACAGTGACACACGCATTGGTGACTTCCCGACTTGACTTCTGTAACGCACTCTACATGGGGCTACCCTTGAAGATGGTCCGGATACTTCAATTGGTTCAAAATAAAGCTGCCAGGCTGCTGACGGGGACTGGGCATTATGTTCACATGACTCCAGTCCTCTGTCAGCTTCACTGGCTTCCCATTTAAGTCCGGGCCCAATTCAAGGTGTTGGTGATGACCTATAAAGCCCTAAATGGCTTGGGTCCTGGTTACCTGAAGGAGCGCTTACGTCCATATATGCCTGCCTGCCCCCTGAGATCTGCAGGAGAGGCCCTTCTCCGGAAACCCTC